TCTGTTTTCATCATGGGTTATAGATAGTAGACAACGCTGACGTCACTCGCATATATCCCGGGCCGCCAAATGCTAGCTAACACAATATAATTACTATAAAATGTAACTAATTTTTCTAGGAATTTGTTAAATAAATGTTTGGAGTTACTATTCAAGGTACTGTGTTACGTGATATTTACCATGACCATAAACGTTCGCCATTATTTTTATGCGTGGAGTATTACGTTGTTAGCATCGCGTAGTATAGTTTTCGCGGTGATAAAAAGCGAGGTATTCACTTTGACGTTGCGGAAGTTTTAGTTAATCCCAGTTGGGGTTCTGTTTGCATAATAGAGATATCTCACTTAGTCATCTATTATTAAACATTACCCTTCTAAAGCCAATATTGAAAGATTTTAAGCAGGTTAGGACAACCTGATGGTTGTTGTCATTCGCTATGCCCAAACATATGAAAGCACTCGTAATATAGTAAGGCTTTCCAGGATATCAATGTAGCTTGCTGCGAAAACCATATTCAGAACCTAGCTAGCGTGAGTTCAAAGTTTCTCAAACTGTTCAAAATCTCTTACTCGGAATATAATTTATATTTGATATGTCAACCTTCGCTCTTTTTAACGCTCAATTGACCGAAAAAGATTTTGAACTCTAATTTTACCAATATATAGAGATCTGAAATTTCATCTGCAGAATGTCAGTAAGTTCAACATAGTTATGACAAGCAGCACCTGTTCGCAATCTCGAAATTTTGAGTGCTATTGACCATTGCTCTTTTATCTCTACCGTACAAATGTAATTTATACGTACAACCCCGGTTTGATATAATCGGTTTCATATTAATAAATAGATAAGTTTATCGCATTTTAGCACAGAAATACGAGACCCCTTTGTTGAACATGAAGGATCTTTTTGTGCCATTCCTTTCTTCCTTTTTATTAAACAAAATTGAGATCTCGTGCCATCAACTAATATTGGAAGTCTAACTAATAAAAAAAGTTGCAGGCGTCCTACAAGAAATACTTATAATTTTTCCTCGTGAAGGAGGTTTATGTAAATAGTGGCTGGCATTTAGAAATAATTACTAATATTATTGACTTGTTGTTATACTAATAATTAGCAAGTGGAGATGAATTTAGAATTATTCATACAGTCACATAAATTCACCAAATATTTTCTATTATTGCTAACATATTTACATCAAAACTTTGCGTACGTAAGACACAAAAACTACGTCAGAACCAGTTTTTACAAACAAGACCGTCAGTCACTTCATTCGATGATAAATGTACGTCATCTTTACGTCATATATACTCGCCAAAATTGTTTGAAAACAACAGTATAGAAACGTATTGTACGACAGAAAGCTTCAGCTTAGGCAAATATGGCAAATATAGAAATGTCTCAGGTTCTGTACGAGTGAAAGATGGACCTCGGATGTTTGATATTCCTTGCTACTCACTCAAGCTTGCCTTTGGTTAAGTAAATATTTATATTCTCATTTTATCAATTTGGGATTTGTGGCAACAGAAAACAATTCCAGTCGATTCGCGTACACACAACCATATAATGGCATAATTTTACGTATTTGTTTTATTACTTTAATCATAAAGTTTCATAAAAATATACACTGAGAATGTACTGGTATCACAAGACTAAAGATTCACTTATTGTAGCTAGGATCAAGCCAGAATACAAGTTGATATGAAGTTTTAATATTTGACATTTATTAAATAGTGGAAGCTTAGATTAGATACTGAATGTACTATAAAAAACATATTTCAACGGTTTGATAGTAACGTAATTTCTTTATACAAAATTTTATCAGCTCATGGTGACATTTGTTTAGCATATGAAAATGTGCTATAAACTTAGTGTCGTGACGTCAATAACTCTAAATTTCCAATGCTTGTATGTAATCTGGTATCTCTTGACGAGTTGCATGAAAAAATTCACAGTATCACATCTCAAGTAACTGTTTAGTCAAAATATATTTATGTTACATTGTATTAATTCTAACGTTGAATATGCTAAATTTTCCTAGCAGATTGTTGCTAGATAACTGAGATGGATTCGTTAAGTTTGAAAGAGAATAGATTACAAATCAATAGCAGGTTTTTTCTTACAAAATCTTGAGCAAAATAGAACAGTGACGGCACCCAGCACTTAAGTCAACGCGACAACAATAGAGTAAACAACGAAAACAACTTGTTACCATTTTTGGTTAGCTTCTGTTATTCTTAACGTTACGACGCAATGGAAGGTCAGGTGTTAAAGGTCATAGGTTGAGAATGTCGTTAAAATAAAGGGGATTAGTTTTCTCGCAAGATTGAGATGACAGATTATCGTTGGATTATAAACATAGACAAAAACATAGATAAAACTTAATGTGAGAAAATAAGTAAGTTTGCAGTTCACCTCGCTATCAAAACACCATTTTTAAATATCTGTCCAATAATTTCTACTTGACTTTCTTTTTTTGTCTCTTTATGTTGAAAGATTGAAAATTTTGAATATCAAACTTGTTTTGTTTTACTTATCTCACCATGATGCACTGAACTTTGTTTTGGACAGTTCTAAAACAATGACAAATGTATGACGTCATTGCAAGCAACTATGTTTTCGCACTTGAAACCGAGAAATTTAATTAGAATTTTGAAATATAATTTGAAAAGATGTTGAAAATGATAAAATGAAAACTTAAACTTGTGGGATAATATCATTTTGCTTGCAACCAATTTGTCTTTTTGTTTATTATAATTTAAATACTGTATTATAATGAAAGCGGATTAATGCGGTTTTGTATAGCGAGTTTTACACCTCATTGACTTAGCTATCGGGAACGACAGTAGTAAAGCATGATGAACCAATGACACACATTACGTAGGAACTGTACAACAATATAACTTACAGTATACTGTATGATCATTCTGAATAACATTACTATTTACCATTTTTCACATGTGCTACTTCTTTGTGTGAATTTACATTTTGAGAGCAAAGTCATAATTTATAGACTATGATCTTAATTCTCAATTTGTTTATGCGTTTCATCGTAATCCGTACTTAAGCTGACAAATACAAATTCTAGAAAATTCCTTTAGGTATAAATATTAGTAGCGATAATCCGCAATTGTAACCACAAGTATACACTGGGTGCTTCATATAGAAAAGTATGAATTACATATCGACATTTCATTTATGGAATACACCACTAAAAACCAAAATCACTTCAACAACTGGTGTAATTAGATAGCATTTATGAAATGGTGCAAATAATCGACAGTTTGTTTTCAATTCGGCTGTCTATTCATTACCACAACGTCAGGCTCGTATTGAATAATTATTTCGGTAACTACCTCCTTCTAATATACGAGATTTAGAGTAAAACAATGGTCATTTTGGTGTCAAGAGTATATAAAATATTGGAAGTCTTCTAGTGGGGCAAGGGTTTTCCTGAACAGGGATGCACGCACCCCCAGGTGGTGCGGAACTGTTCCTAGCGGGTGCGGAAATGCAGAGTTGTAAAGGTTCTACTTCTCCTATATTCTCTCTCCACTCAAACGAGATACATGTAAAAATTGAATATAATACAACGACTTTCAGCAACTCCAGATTGAGTGCGCGTCCTCACTCGCGTCCTCACATCCATCGTATTCTCGCGCTAGGTTGACAGCGCTTTAATCCTTTACCAAGAATTATTTTGCGATACTTCTCAGTTCTCAAGCATACATTTATGAAAGAAGCGCTGCATTTGGAACTGATACTTTTTTTAAATTTGAGCAAAGCCTAATTTCACTCTTGAGAACAGTGATCTCACTTTACTTGAATCGTTTCACATCTCTTCCAATAACTTTTTAATTAATTAAACTTTTATTCTTGATCATATACTATAGGAATGCATCTGAACTTGTATGAGAAATACGTTTATAGTAGAACCTAGTACAAAGTGCTATTTTCTGTAGGCTATGAACAAAGGCTTCAACACTGAAACGAATACAGCAAGGGTCGGCAAACTGCGGCCCGCGGGCTATTATTCTGCGGCCCCCGGGCTATTATTCTGCGGCCCCCGAACAAACCGACTTTTAAAGGCATAAAAAAGTATCCTAAATTCATTATTTTCTCTACACGGATTTATGTGGTAACAAGTGCTGCTGCACGGCGCTTGTTTTGTAGTAGGCTAAGTAGCGTCAATTCTATGTTATTGGTTGAAAACATAAATTAAGTTTATGTAGATTATGAAAATATAAAAATGCCTGGGAAACAGAGAGGAGTTTGCGAAATGAGTGGAACATACAGAAGAACTTGGACGGAAATTATTTTTCTTTTTAAGCATTTCAAAACCAGTCATTTCAAATTCGACCCAAGACCCGGGGTTGCGCCACTGTGTGATAGTGCAAAACGTGTAATGTGCATGTTCGGAGGCACATATTGCTGTGAGCAGCGATATATAAAAAGCATTACACTAAGATTATGTTTCGTACTCGTTTGTCAGATCGTCATTTAGATTTTAGACGACGCACTGCGTGTCAACGAAGTTAGCATTTGATTTTAATTAATGCTTTGGCCCTGAAACAGAAACAACATCATTCCTCTTCACATTGATAATAAGTAAATAAAAACAATTTATAGTTTAAAAATATATTAAAAAAGGCCAGACACACGTCTCATTGTGGAATGCTTTTAACACAGCAATAGAAGGTACGCCGTAATTTGAAGTTCAATGTGGCGATTGTTCGCAGGCGGAAATTAATGCGACCCGCATGCTACCGCAAATGTGTATATTTGGCCCGCAAGTTTGCTAGTTTGAAGTTTGCTAACCACTGCTTTACAGCATACCACAATAGGCATCAATAACGATTACCGGTACATTAGTGCTAGTTTGTGGTATTCAAATTTCACCTAACTATGACCTATTCTAATTCAAATAATATTTTCATTCTCACTCATGCGCTTAGATTCCGGTGTTTTAATATTGGATTGCTTCACTCGTTTTCAGATTTTGATATTTCTTCAATATTGTAATAAAAGTACTTATTGGCGATAGTACTTTTAGAAGGATTGTCACAACATTATCATTAACGTCACGGTACTTGTAACAATATTTTCGATTGGATTTATACAAAAATTTAAGAACGGATTTAAATGAACGAAAATTCAAACAATTCAGTATACAACAACGGAGTAATTGCATCTGATTTAAAAAAGAGAATAACCGACTACGAGACGGCAGAGACTCCACAAAAATGAAATTGCTGAATAGAATGTTTCATTTTCATGTTAATCACAAAAAATATTTTTTGATTTTGTTGATTCTTTTAATTTCAACTTCAACGAACGCAAGAAGAAATCGTGATGGTAAATATGTATTTATCAGTAAAAAAATTTGATTAAATCGATACTCACTCAGAAGTGAAAGAGATTCATATCTGAGAAAGGTTCAAGGAGAACCCTGAAATTCTAGGGGCTATTGAAACTAATGAATCCAGGGTGGTGCATTACTATATAGCAAGTGTCATTTGACGCGAGATTTAAAGCATTTCAAGTCATCATTGTTAGGAAAATAGATAGTGAATCTCATATTATATACGCTTGTATTCTATTAGAAATTTCAGAAGTATTTTTCAATGATGTAATTTAACGATGATGATTCATGCCATATGCGATTTCAATAAAATTTACTGAAACTTTGTTACCGGTTATAAACTCCAACCAAAGGTCTCAATATTAAAATATTTTTTCCCAAGCATGTTCGATAGATAAGCCATATATCAGGGGTGCTCTATCTATAGCTTATAATTGGTTGTGTACAAATTAGGCAATATTACTTTACTTGAGATTAACGTTGAATAGTTGTGGCTTAAAGTTAACGCCTTTCTTATCAATAGAAAATTCCAAACAGTCTCGAAGCAACAGTTGCAGACGGAATCATAAATTTGACAAAGAAGAAAAATGCGATACCGCGACAAACTGCAGATATGGAGGAATGTGCAGAAAGGTCAAGTATTTTAATTTTTATCAGTAAAGTATGAATATCTAGCCGTTGTTCTGAAAAAAGTTTCATGCACTACCAAAACATTCATCAAAATTTGCTAGAATATTTCTGAAACAATTTCTGTATGTTTATGACGAAAAAGCATTGTATTGATATATTCTAATGCCGGCTGGTATTTTCAATTTTTATTTTGGGTATTTATTTATCGTGTTTGCGACATTTTTTTCAAATTTCTCCTCCATTAGTCCCATATTCTTGGTCGACTGATTTGCTTGCTGTTCACTCTCGGTCAAATACCATGTGAATTATACTGTATTAAACGCACTTTCAAGCAGGAGAGTTTAGTAGAAAACACCATCATAATTATTTATGTTAAAATTGGTAGTGTTGTTGGCATTATTGACATATATTTACCCATTAAACAGGTGACGGATATAACAGCAAATGGGGCAACTATACGTGTAGTGGTTCCGTTAGATATCGATGATTTGTACAGCAGCGATGAAAACAGACGAACTAGTGAAAGAAGAAAATCTTTAAGTTTAAATCCTCTTTTCCATAAAATGGGTGAGTTATTATTTAAGGATTATATTCAATGAAGAGGTTTGCTCCGCTACTTTGTCAAATATATTTGCGATTTAGCAGACTTTTAGATTATCTTTATACTAGAAGTATTTTTGGCAATCTGGTCAGATACCGCCGGGAATATAAGAGAATCAATATTAGACCTACTTGGACAATTTTGTATCGAATTTAGTAAAATATAACACGTAAATCTGCATTGAAAAAATATTTCAAAATTTTGTAGAAATCCCAACAGATATGATAAATTCATTATATATAAAAAAAAATTATTTGAAATCATTTTTATCTGTTTGTTTCAATATTAAATCACAAACATATTAAAAAATTATCATTTGTAGAATATCCATTGCAAGAGGAATGCGTTTGTAATTTTCCTTGTGGTCATCGACATAAAGAACAAAAGCAAGAAGTTTGTGGATCAAATGGGAAAGCCTATTCAACTGAATGTCATTTAAAAAGAGATTCATGCAGATGTCAAATGGAAATTACCGTGAAATGGAGCGGACCATGTAAAAACGGTGAAATATTTTGAGAAAAACACTTTTTTACACATTATTAAAACAATAATAACGCTGTTACTTAACACTTGAACGACGAAAATTGTCAATCTATCACTATGCTATAGCAGAATATGTTGTAACAATTTGACTTAAAGCGCTGAGACAAGCTTCTTTACATACCTAGCCTATAAGCTCGTCTATTTGAGCACAATATAAAACAGGAAAGCTATTTCTGAATGCCTATACTTGAAATAGGGATATATGGGAATCAGAAAAAAAAAATACATAAAATTCCCTCGAAACCATTCTATGCTTAGTTGAGTGCGAGAGTGGTTATATGTTCGGCTTATCTATGAGGTTAAAAGTGTTGAGGTAGAATCCCATGCCCACCACATCAGCACGTTCTCGTTAGTTGAGTAAGCAGTGCCGAACACAAAAGATTCGGGATCTTCCAATATGTAGTAAGTCATTACATATCAGAGGCCTTTATTGCGAAGTCTTGTTCTGACTGAAATCCGTGTAAAAATGTTGTACAAAAAATCATCAAATGTGTTTACTAGTAAATCTATAATTTCACAATTTATAACAAATTTATTTAGGCAATAATCGGCATTATTCCTGTTATTTCAATATTTAGTAGCTTTTTACATTACAGACAAACAGAGGCTCGCTCCTCGTGCATAGCCGCGTTCGCAAAGGCCTGTAAAAATCGACAAATGCGTTTACTAGTGAACTTATAAATATACTATTTTCATCAAAAATAGTAATTTTTATTTGAGCAGCACACAAAATTATCACCGAGACTGAAAAAACAAAGAACAGTAGGAAAAATAATATGTTACTACACGATTTTCAAACTTTTTGTTTAAGTTTAAGCAAGAAATTTGACAGAACAAAAGTAATAATATTCTGAACTATTTATAAACTACACGACACATTGCGAAGGAATGAAATCACAACTTTGACTATAAATGCAAAATTAGGTTTGATATTGAATTTCAAAGCGAATATAATCGTACCGATAAGCATCTCCGGTTGGCGAAAAGCGTGCAGCATTTGTGTATGTTGCTAGACCACAGTTTGAAATCTTTCAAAAAATCACCAAATCAGCTGTGGATAATGTCAAATGCCTTCTTATTGCGAGCGAGTTGTTTAGATTTTGCATTTTTTCTTACCTCGAAAATAAAATTTCATTCCATCAGTTATGTATCAATTTTGTTAATTTTGCCAACTCAATTTATTCAGATATATCAAATCTTCCGTAATTAACTCGAGTATTAATGGTAAATTGTAGATAAATATTTGTTGTATTATTTTTCTCCTTAATTTCCAAAATTTACAGACCATTATAAATAAGATAACTTCAAGACCATAATCAAACTTTAATAGTGACCATGTTTACAACTGTATCACTAATTCAATTTTCCAAAGCCGAATCTGAATTTGGGTTGTCGGTTTGCTCCTGTTCCCAATTTGACTATAACTTTCTGAAGAGTAAATTAGTGAATTTAGTGAATTTCAGTCATAGGATAGAAGAAAACAGACTATTAAAAATTGATTACTACAAAAGCAACTAAAAATCTCATAATTTTTTGAAATAATTCTTTAAGAATTAAATCAGAATCAGATCTTTAAATCAGATTTTTCAATATGATGTTTCATTTGTACATAAAAATAGCTCATTGACTTATAACGTTTGAAGGGGGTTGTATCGAAATAGATATGTTTTATTAGAAATAATCAGTATTACACAAACACCGAGCACAAGGTAAAACTCAAGAAAGATTTGATGATTCAGCACGCGAACGTGTGTATGAGCTCACGTATAACTCAATCAACAGCATTCCAGGGGTAATTTTTCTGACAATTTTTCAAGTTAAATTATTGTAGTCTAGAAAATTCGAGAAAAATTGTAAAAGCAAATGAAAACCGCACTATTTTGAAGCTCTTTTCGCGTTTCGATATTGTCAGCTTTCGCTAACTTTGGAAGAAATCATAGACAGCTTTTGTGTTGTCTAGCTCAGATTAAGATCAGCAGCCGACAGCCAGCAACTTGTTTTTGCAGACCTTGTGCACATCGTGATGTAGAAAATTAGTAAAATTCATCAGCAATATTAAATATGGCCATTTTTGACAAAATCATAAAACCAAGATTTCAAAACGTTATGCTCTTGCATTCAATATATAAACGTTAAAACATGCATAATGAAAAGTAAAAAGAGTTGAGATTTGGGCTTAAAGCGATTTATGTACATCAAGTTACAACATTGCATTATCAATTTTAACGGACAATCTAATATTAAAAATACTTTCCACATCATACCTACTAGCGATATATTATTATTTTAAAATGTTCAACATGACGTACGATACAGAACATTGATTGGGTATATCCACGATATTTTTATTATTTATTATATATTTCTTCATGCATTTTCCTAATATGAGATATTGTGTTTAGATACACTACAGCTTGATTTAGAAAATAAGAAGCAAGGCAAAAAGCAAAGAACATGCGCTAAAGGTTGCAAGTTTGGTGCCAAATGCGACCCGGCAGGAATATGCAGATGCAAAATCGGTAGGATAACTCCGTTTCTCCTTCATATCACGGATCTTATTTCCAAAGATCATATTTATTACATTTTCTTATAAATTCATATAAAATTCGTCAATTCACAAAGATGTTACAAATTTACAGTATAAAAATTAAATCATTTTCCAAGTATACCTCACAGTCGAGTTCAGTTCTCAATTATTTTGTATTCACTTAGAATGTGACGTGCAAGCATTGTCTTATGTTTGTGGAAAAGACGGAAGAACTTACACAAACGAATGTCACGTGAGACAGTCAGAATGTAGACATCAAATGGAAATAGGAATTCTTCATTTTGGGACATGCAGTGCAGGTAAAAACCTATCAAAAATAAGCTAACAGAATTTGAAGCATGAATTGGTTGTTGCCCATTATTCAAATACATTTTCGAATTACAGTTGTTATTGCTTATTGGACACAAAATGGACCTATGGATCGTTTTGTTAATCAGTTTTCGTTGTTTTCCTTGATATTTTTCTTGTTATCGTTATGAAAAATCGCTTTTCTCTTTAACTACTGGACCAATCGCTTTGAAATTTTCAGTGGTTAAAGCTTGTATGTTTTGCTAGATAGATATTACTTGTGTCCATATATTTGAGCATAGCTCTCTTGTTTAATTACTTTGAATCACATTCTGAAATATTAGTATTTGAATATTTCATTTTTGGCATGGAGATGATAAGAAATCATCAATACTTTGCATAGTAATCCAATTCTTGTTTGAATGCCTCAGATAGACATGAACAAGATTTATTTTAAAGTATAATATTGAAATATTTGGGAATGATACCGAGGTTCAGTTTGAGTTCAGATATATACTTGAATTGGATACTTTGGACTCTATAGATATTGCATTCTTCATCAGCATGTTATCTTTATCATCAATTATTATTTCTAATTTATAGAAGAACGCCTGCGAAGAGAAAGCCAAGAATTTCTGCGAGCGAAGGCAACTGTCAATCCATGTGAAACATTAGACTGCAATGGTATGTCGTCATAGATGATTTTAAGCATATCAGTTATAATAGCTACTTATGAAATGCCAAAGAAGCATTACAATGGATACGTAAATATGTTTTGAGTAATATATATAATCAGGTGATCTGTAGTTGTACAAATTTGGGGTAAATAAAAAATAGTTCTAGTTTGGTGTTTTCTTATCTGCAGTATCGGTGCACTTCTCACAACTTGCAATGACACCATTTTTTCATACCTGAATCCCAAAATTATACAACCTGGAAAATGGATGCCCAAAAAATGAAACGACTAAATCATTTAAATAAGATTTATCATTGAATACCTGGTTTACAAAAGTGACAAAATCAAACTTTATTGTGGAAAATTCGGCATCTGGAAAACTCGACCTGTTTACAAATTGAATTAATAGCGTACAATGGTTTGCATATACTGGATAGCAGTATTATGTTAAAAATGCATTGAAACATCCCCTAATTTCCTCGATTTTTTGAACAAAGTTAAGTTACTTTTGAATTCGCTATTTTAGCTGCTGTTGCCGATCCTCTGTGTGGAACAGACGAAATAAGTTATCCAAATGAATGTGTATTACGACATGCTTCTTGCGTTAAAGAACAAGAAATTCAAGTACAGCATAAGGGGTATTGCAGAAAAAATTTTGATGGTATGTAGCCTACCACGCTATATTTAATGTTTATTGGATATAACAGCATTATTATGAACGAGACTGGAGGCCCTGTATAATTTTATGGTCGTTATATTTATTGTTTTATTTATATATTCTTCCATATCTGAAGGATATTGGACCCGTAATACCAACAATACTAGGTATATACCACGGTTTATCATTTCCAGTCAGATGTACATAAGTAGATGGTCGAAAATTTTCATTTTTGTACCATTTCATAACAGAACCATCGAAAGTTTTCTCATTAATGTGCTTAAAAGTTATATTGCATTTCTACTTTCAGATCAAGTTCAAAATTACTTTATTTTGCATTTTAGTTGAAGTACCCACTACTGTTGAACCCGCGACAACCTCTATGGCAAATACCCTAGTAGCTAAGACGGACGACCCATGTATAGGAATTGTGTGTCACCATAATGCCGTCTGCATCCTGCATGAAGATTATGACTTCATTTGTTCTTGTGAAGCAATCTGTGACAGAAGTAAGCGATTCCGGACAATTTCGAACGATAAAGTACTAAGCAGAATGACCTTTTAAAAGATGTAGGCAGCGTTCATATCCCTTCTGACTCTCTCATTATCAGTGTACACTTAAAATAAAATATTACTGGCCGGCCAAGTCCATATAAATAATCTGTGACAGAAGTGAGCGATGTCGGACAATTTCAAACGATGAAGTACTAAGCAGAATGGCCTTTTAAAAGATGTGGCAAGCGTTTATATCCCTTCTGACTCTCTCATTATCAGTGTACACTTAAAATTACCGGCTGGCTAAGACCATATACAGAAGATAGTTTATCTGGTTAAATGCTAATGCATTGAAAATTATATAACAAACTATTGAAAAGTTTGCAGGTTTCTGTGGAAGACACACTCTCATGACATTTTTGTTCAAAACAGTTTAAAACAAATCAAAATACTTGTACAAATTTGTATATTAGTATTCGATTTATTGTTTACCATCATGATTAAAGTGAGTTTCCATAAAAAAAAAGATTGAAAAGTATTACATTTCAAGCATCAGAAGCATTATAATAATCGCAAAAATTTGCTCGGAACACTGTCTTGTCCCACTATTTACGTGTAATTTTTTACATAAACTTTTCGTTTCACAGTGGTTTCCGACATGGAAGTTGACACCTCCGGTTCTGAAAGCTCATATCATGCATTGGCTGCAATGTGGCCAAGCGCTAGAATATTACAATTCCTGGAAAATGACGAGCAATCTACCGACGTACTAGACAAAACACAGATGATAAGCGATGGGGGTGTTTGGGGAGATGCAATCATGTCGATGATTGAAATGAACAATTTTACTACAGAACAACCTGTATTGATTCAACTGGAAGAAAAAGAATCAAATCCTGTAAGGGAAAAACTTGTCGAACAAGAGTTGGATACGTCTCCGGATAGGGCACGGATACGAAGACGCAGAAATAAGGTGTGTTGTTTTGTTGTTCACTTGTTGTTCGTCCCTTCTCTCGCGCACGATTTATTCTACACTCACTCGTTGAAACCACACTACTTATTGGACACGAGGTGGACCTAAGGATCATTTTGCTATTATTATTGTTGTTGTTCTTGTTGGTATTTTTCTTTTTGTGCTCATGAAAAAAATCGCTTCTCTCTTCGATTACTCGTCTAATTACTTTCCGGCGGTTGAAGATTGTTGTTGTCGCCAGAGGCTATCACTTTTATTTATTTCAAAAATTTTTGTGGACTCCATGGTATTTTTTTTTTTGTGTGATGACGTCATCGAAATAAAAAAAATGCGCATTGCGGTGGTTCCGCGTTTGATGAATTGGTGGGCAGGCGAGACCGGGAAGACTACGGTACCGGTTGACTATTGTAAAAATTGGATACCCGTACTACTTTGTTTTGGCCTTTGTATCCATACAGTTGAGCATTGCTCTCTTGTTTTTCTCACTTATCTCCATAAATAAACTCAATATTTTTCTCTTCAGAATTCTCGTCGTGGACGTCATAGAGGAGAATATCACGAATCCATGCGTTCAAAAAGAAGCACTGGGGGACTGCGACCTCTGTTTGATGAAGTTTTATGTGGAACAGACAGGAAGACTTACATGAATGAATGTGAAATGAAAAAGGAGGCGTGTTATAACAGAAAGAGAATTTCGGTAAACGACAAATATGTATATTGAATATTTTTACAGATTCTATATTTATTGTATTATTATTACTTAAAATTTCTTATTATGTTCAGTATTTTTATTTCATTGAAGTGGTCAGCTTTACCTACCTCTTACTTCGCTTTCAATTATATAGCTAATGCCTAACATGCAGGGGAGATAATTAAGAAAATGTGGCAAGCTATAAAGTTTTTGTCGTTTCAATAGTTCTTTGTGCGTCGATTGTATGTACTTGGATCCGACATGGCTTGTACTAAACTGAATCAAGTTTAAAGGGATTTTTCATGTTCGAGCGCTTTACACTAAAATTATTCCTGAATTCGTATTTTTTTAAGCTCTAACCACTCGCATTTATTTTTTTTTTGTCTGAAAAAAAAACCCATATTTTAAAAAGTATATACAAATTTATGCTATTTTGCAGATATTTCACATTGGTGCTTGCTCAACGACGATAGAGAAATCCACGCCTAATACGGTAACTATTTTCCTTTATTAGTAGTTGCTTCTTTATTAAACTAAAAAAATGTGTGGTCATTCAACTCACGAAATATAATAGCTGTGATCTCAATGTATATATGTTCGCAAATTTTCATTAAGAAATAATAATTCAATTTTCTTATTTTAAAATTTTAAAGAAACTTCTACTTATGCCCACAACTGCTACAACAATTCCGAGTGCAAGCATTCTGGAATATGAGGAAAAACCCGAAATAGAAAAAGTATCAATAATCGACGAAAGTGACAAACGAAGCTTTGAAGCCGATTATGTTATACCCACAACTAAACCTAAAAGAAGACAAAGAGGGAAAAACAGAAAGAATCGAAACAAAAATGACAGAAGAGGTGGCGGAAGAATGAATCGGAGAGAACGCAATGGAAAACGAAAATACCGGAATCGTAAGACTGAATCCAGAACCGAAGTCCGAGACGAGATAGTGAGCTCCGATATACTTAATAATTTAAAACTGAATGCACAAACAACTACACAAAGTTATGAACAAAACCGACAGCGTGAGTCAGTATTAGAACTTCGGGATGAAAATGTAAACGATGAAATAATGAAAGATCTCGGAACGAATGAGACAGTACCAATGGCGTCAGATATCTCAAGTACAAAGGCAGTCCTGCATCCATATGAAGTCGTAACGACTGGGCAAAAGAATTCATCGAAAGGAAAAAATGATTTCATTCAGACACGAGAAGAAATAATCAACGATATATTTCTTTACCCAGGAAGTGAAGGAAAAATCAATTCTACGCAAAACCGCAGTTCAGATTCGGAGTACAATCAAACAGGTACAGATCTATTGAGACGAAGATCAGAAAATGTGCCTTCGAAAGACTATAGATCGCTCTGGAATAAAGAAAAGAAGCAAGAACTTTTGAAAAACAGGGCGATGATGGTTAAACAGCGTTACGAAAATGCAAAATATAAAAACACAACAAGGCATTATGTAAAAGACGTTAAAGAAAAAACTTTCAAACCAGACACCGGTATGAATACAGTTTCTCTTGCGCTTGCAATTGGACTTGGGCCAGTTGTTGTCATTATTGTTCTTGTTGGACTTTTTATTTATATAAAAACGAGGAAAAAACTTAAAGACTTACCCGAAACGAAGGAAAACCCAGAATTTGTCACAAAGATTGAGAACGGTAATACCAACACAAAACGTTAACTTGCCTTTTTCTCATCAAACAAGAATAAAACATTCTAAAGATGTTTCATACATCAAAAAGGCCAAGTCTTCGTTTCAAGTCGAAGGAAGCTGAGTGATAAAGGAAAATCTGTAACATCGTAATCCCAGGGATTCTTACATTTGACGAAAATACAAATTTTTTCTCACGATGTGTTTAAAAGACTCCAACGCTTGAAAAGTAAAGTGGGCGACATATATGGTTCTACTTTTGAGTCAACGTAATGTTTCGATGTTAACATCAAAAACACTCTAAAAGTTTTATAGATATATATCTGCTCTATATCTGAATCCCTCAATATATTGACTGAGCTGTGCGAGACTGTAGAGACAAGCAAATATTTAGAATGGGTAAAACTGACTTTACTATGTATGTGTTCTATGTACTGCTGATTCGCAGCACACGTGCTCCTAACACAACGACCTTCACTTACGCCTTATCACGTACTCTCATAAATGAATCATTCGCTCAGATTCGAAAGCAATAAATATCATTCACAGCTTTTCATGAAATTAGTTACTATTAGCGGTTTTTGCAAGGTGTTTCCATATTTTCTAACAGCGAAACAACTGAAATCATATTTGAAATCTAAGCCAATGTATCGCAAATAAAAAAAACTAATTTAGATGCATAAAACTATAGTTAACAAATATCTTGATCTTTCAACTTATCTTTATCACAAAACGCTTTTTATTTTGACGACTGAAATGGTCTATATTTTCAGTATTTGCTTATTTTTTCAACTTAATTGCTGTTTGAAAATTTTTGAATCGGTGCTGGTCATCGATTCTGAGTCTACGCCAAACGAACTCTGTATTTTATACCCATTATCTACGTGATCTAGATTCAGAAGCAATAGATTCGAAACCTTTCTGTTCGTCGAGGCGTACTGTTTTTATCACTCTCGGGTTTTCTCCGCAAGGTATCTTGAATTTTCATCACATTTGCGCTTCCATGCGATAAGATCTGCCAGGGTTTGTGCCAAACCGTTACCTCCACTTAAATTCAAACAGTCGAGTTGGGTCGTCATTTCATCTTGCTTTATGTTCTTAACCAATGCATAGGATCATTCAAATATTGCGCGTTCCATTTGAATTTATACTTTCCTATTAATATATTAACTTGGTGTATCGAATGTTTGCGAACTTTAAATACTTATTATCGTTTTGTTACTGTTTGTGATTTTTGTAAAGTTTTTTCTTTATTTTCCTTCTAACATCCAGTACTGAAAATCGTCAACACATTATTGAGGGTGTATTTTCTGACACATTTTTTGTAATTACATTGTATTACTTTTATTCTGTAAATATTGTCAATGCAACCCTATGGGCGGATTGATTGTCTTGTTTAAAAACTCATTTTAACATTTCCGCATGCGTGACGTGAATTGAATAAAATTCATTTTTAATATTTTACATTTTGAAATGTTAGAAACTCATAGTTTCTAAATAGTTTTTCAAACACCTCTCAACATAAAATTTAAATTAGGTCCCTCCATGTTTGTGGCTGGCTCGCTGACACACAAAGGGCTACCTAAAGGCCCTCTGGAGCTGACATTGAAACAAAATTTGAAGCATTCACAAGTCATCATTGCCAGAAAAATAAGTTTGCCAGAGTAAATTCTACAAAGTGGACGACGTTTGTGAAAAGCTTTTCACACCAAACAGTTTCGATATATTGGGATACAATACAGTGAATAATCTCGAGATACTGCCAATAAATATATATGTCGACAATGAACAGGGTTTATTGAGAAACGCAGAAAGGCTAATTGAAACCGCAATTTTTCGTTGTGAATGATTTTGTAACCCGGAATCTATTTTCAAATTAGGGATATTTATAACAATTTTCCCAATCGTCAACAAGTGCAAAACATTGGCAGGTGCACCGGTCCAGACGTTGTAGCAGAGGTTGATACAACAGTCAAGTATCAAACATAATTTTTCTAAGAATTCATAGATTTATACATAAATACATGGAAAATGAATCAGATATGAATAACACTGTAGGTCTGAGAGTAGAAACGAAATAAGGTAAAATATGGAGTAGAGATAACAGAGACGGTAAAGCGATTGCGGAGATAGCGGTATACATTACCTTTTCGGAAATGTGCAAAAAGATGAAAACACTTGTTGAAAACACTTGATAAAATTAAGTTCAATTGAAGATATTGACATGGACATTGCCCGACCCGCAAGCGGTTCATACATCGAACATAGCATCAGGGAGCTGGATTTGTGAAGATAATTTCGGGCCTGATCAAGGCTGCTATTTTACTATAAAACTTGCCAAACAGTCTTGTCTTGGAATCAGTTTGAAATTTCATATTTGATAATTGGAGGAGGAACTACAGCCTTATTTTATTGATACGTGGATAGTCATTGTTACTAGTTTTTATGAGAACATTCACAAAAAAAGGACAGGTACACTCATCAAAAGTAAAGTGTGAAGTACTCCCGTGTGAATCCCATGGGATGGGACACAGCACACAATTGTATTTCCCATGGGACACGCAATTTTTGAGAAACCCTTTTTATATAGGAATATCAATATGCTGAATGAGCAGAGTGGCCTAGAAATAGTATAAGAGGGTCATAATGATTCTGAATTGCTGTGGTTACTGGATACGGAGTGGACCTATGAACCGTATTGTTATTATGTTGCCGTTCTTAATATTGCTCTTGTGCTCCCTATCGTTATGAAAAAATTGACTTTCACTTTAATTACTGGACAAATTACTTCGGAATTTTCAGTTGTAAAAGAGATCTGATATTTCGTCCAAAATTTCGCTGTATTATTTTTTTCATGGGAACACGGTTTTTGATACGCCAAGCGTGGCGGCGGTCTTGCGTTTTGAATATTGCAAAATCTTGCTACGCGAAAGTCGCAAGTGTTTTCACACGATTACGGTAGTTATAAAGTAGACTACTGCCTGCTTTAGTCTCCGTCTGCATATATTTGAACATCGCTTTTGATATGATGTTGTTATTATTAGAATTTTTCTTCTCATCAATATGAAAAAAAATCGCTTTTCGCTTCAACTACTGGACTAATTGCCTTGAAGATTTGATTAGTTAAAGATTGTATTTTCACTAGAAGGCTATTACTTTTATTTATTCTTCAATTATTTATGAATCCTATAAGATCTGAAATATTATTCAAAACTTGGCTGTAGTATTTTATACTCGTGGGAACACGTTTTAAAACTTGAATCATGTTCAGTTTCGTTCAGGATACCGTATGATTTTCCGAGAATGCATTTCGTTATGGATTTTGTGTCCATATATTTGAGCATAGCTCTCTTGTTAGTTATATAATAGTTCTGAATGGAAAGGTGGAACATTTTCGGTGGCAACAACAATGTTGTACTGAAAAGGACATGTAAGGGAGTCAGAAAACGATGATGTATTAGATGAAGTCGAGCTTCTGGGAGCAAATCCACAATATCCTCATGTAAGTTTTCCAGATGGCAGAGAAACAACTGTGGCCTCTCAACATCCGGTTATGCAATTTCAATAAGCAAGAGACAACGCTATCAAACATACCATGTTACAGCTGGATGACCATATTTCCAAACCCTAAATGGAGTACATGTCTTTCGTTGGTAACATATTTCACCTGTGCCTGAGATATATACTAAACTCTCTGGGCTTAAATATAGAAGTGGCAATAGACCAATTGACGACAATCGAACCCCTTTCAATGATGGAAACTAGGATCGTAATCAGAACTTCAAAAAGGGGGAACTAATTTTTTGCAAGGTTATAGAAAATGATCATTGTGCTGTAACCTTACATCTTAATACGCCGTGTGTGGAAATAGTCATTCTTGTGTCAAAATGATGCCGGCAGCAACCATCTTTTGTTGTATAAAAATTGCATTTTGCAAAATAAAAGTGTCATAAACAAAACGATTTTAACATTAGCTCTTATGGAGAATGTGATCACCAGAGCAGAAATTCGCATTTTTGGTAATTTTTTATTTAGCTTTCATTGTACACTTGTGCAATGTTAAGGATAGAGTATTTTTTATATATTTTTTGATATTTTTATATTGATAAACATAGTCAAGATTTTTGATAATCGGTCATTAAAATTTTAATGGGCGTGGTGTTTCCGCTGGCGTTTCTCTCACTATACCATGACATTCTGCCAACGCGTTGAAATATGTGCTCCAGTGCTTGTGCCTCTTATTCAGTTTGAAAAGAATACCGGTACCGGGACCACAACATACCGTGTTTGGCGTTAAGTTTAGCTGGAAAAGAAATCCTGTTATATTCGAAGGTAGTCCCCCTCATCAGCACCTAGCTATCAAACAAATAAAAACTGCAATCACTTACAGACTTAACATTGAAAAAAAATAGAAAATCACCTAATTTTGTCAGAGAATTTGAAATACTAATGAACTGTAATGAATCAAGTGTGTATAAATTTAGTATGTATAAAAATGAACATGACTAATATATTTAATTTTTCACTTTTGTTGAAAAAAAAAAAGTTTAGCGGGAATGGTAGTTTATTCACATTCACGTATTCAGTGAGATTTACTTTTCCTTACTAGCTTTGCGCATATCCTACCTGTACAGCGAGCCACCAGAGCCAATATATAATGATAGTAATATAATGGTTATTGGTCACGTAGTGGACATAACGATCGTTTCAAAATTTTGTTGTTATTGTTATTATTTGTCTCCGTCAACACGTTTTGAAGAAATCGCTTTTCTCTTCGAATACTGGACCAATTGCTTCGAAATTTTCAGTGGTTAAAGATAAAAATTCTCCAGAAGGCTATTACTTTTTTTTGCTATGACGTCATCAAAATTATGTGACTCTACATGTCCATATATTTGAGCATAGCTCTCTTGTAATAGTTATATAATGGCTCTGCAGCGAGCGACCTTTCTCAGACAAATTTACAACGAAAGATAACTAGAAAATCACAAAAAATGCAAATTTCTGCCCTGGTGATCACATTCCCCCTAGGAGCTAATTTTAAAATTGTTTTGTTTTTATTTTTGCGCGTAGGATGGGTTTTGAGTGACTAAGCTAAGGTATATTCTCATTCTATCGATCAAGGAAACAATGAAACTCAAACGCAAGCAAATATTGTATGTAGAAGAGCATAATTATCTCTAGATCCTCATCTCGTCGGTTTTTAGATGATCGACCAGGGAACGCCGACCCGTGGATAGACAAAATCTTGAAAGTGGCAGTGAATGTAATATAACTTAATTAAATTCAATTATTTGTTTACAAAGTTTACTGAAGATATAATCTTCTTTGATTACACAAATGTCGCTAACCCGCTGACTTGTATCGTGTTTCGCGACCACTCAACTATTGCTATGAATCTGACGTACATTTTTTCATAAACATTACGCTTAATTAGGCTTCCCGCTGCTTGTCAGCAGGGAACCTATTGTATTCCTGTGTTTTATTATTATTTATTATTATTATTTTTTCAAATTGGTCCTACAAACTTGAAATTCACCTCAAATGTGCAGAAGTTCTCAGCTAGCAATAAAATGCAAATTTTTTTTACGCGCAAATTTTTTTTTACGCGGGAAGCCTGTTAAAGCTGCACGCAGCTCTAGTTTCATTTGTATTCCCGTTCCTACATACAATTTTGAATCTTTTCGTGCGTCGATTATTGCACGATGTAACTAAATATCTAGATCTGAAACTGTGAAGTTTAAAAGGCCAAGGCCATGTTGTTTACATTTTGTCTATTACTGCAACCATGCTTAAAAAGGTTGCTGATAATGTGCTTGAGCGGAATTACAATGCATACCTGGTATTTTCAGTATAAAGTGGGCAAGGTATCAAATTTTACCAGTCATCACCATGACTGAAACTATTGATTACAAAAACGAAACGTTTCACTCGAGTGTTCCGTGCAATGACTAAGCAAATATAAGCACGCCTCACAACGTCTTTCTCCTTATCCGTACATTCGAGTCTGTTGCGATCAAAGTTGCGATCTAGGCGAAGGTGTAGGTGTAGGACTATACGAATTTGTCAAGTCACATTTTGGACTAGTAATCATTAATAGCTAAGTGAGTTGCATATCGAACTAGGGCACGTATATATATATATATATATATGTACGTCGCGCTAAGTGAGAACCATCGAGTTTATATATACATCCAATGGTTAGAACAGTCAGACAGTGTTTTCGATTTAACTAAATAATAGTCTATCTATTCTGTTAGATCCCAAAATGAGTGCATTGAAATTTGTCGTATTTCTGGGTACTACCAGAGAGGGAAGACTTGGGGAACGAGTTGCAACTTTTATCATGAACCAAATCAAACAACGTGGACACAAGGCGGACTTGTTTGGTAAGTTATACGAGTAACCGACTTTACAAAATGTAATAATAACGGATTTCCTTACGGCCACTCTGCAGAGTGTTGTGTAAGTGGTTGCAGGGCTCAAAATCAACTATCACCTCTTAGGCGACGGTTCTCCCAGCTGTTGCAGTATTGTAGTTCAGTTTTCACAATATCGATCATCTAAATCAGTGACACTTGACTTTAAATTGATATGCTGAGGTGAAGCAGTTGAATTGATGTCATCGTTGCTGTTAGGTCGTTTGAATGCGATTAGGTTCTATGGCCTAGCTTACAATAAAACGTATCAAAAAATTAGTGGCGAGGCCATAACAAGGTACTTAAGACCGTTTAGTTAAACAGGCATGTGCTAAGCAAATATTGCATTTATAGTTGTCGGCCGAAATTGTTTAAATGCAAGTTGTGGTACAAATGTTAAACTGGTTCCAGTACGAATTTCAAATAATACCAGAGTACCCAACAGTGGCGTAGCATCCACTCCCGCAACCCCCGCGGTCGCGGGAGGGCCCACAGCGCAAAGGGGCCCAAGCGGTTAGAATTTCGTTTTGTTACGTAACAATGCCAGGGAGTCGTCGATTTTCGGCGTCTCATGGTTTGATCGCACCGGCAAAATTACGAAGGCTGTCAGAATGATGTCGAAAGCAAAACCTCTCAGTGGCGCACAGAAACGCAGAAAAAGGGCAGAAGAGGAAGCACTTATGAAAAAAATTAGAGTGACCTAGATAAACGGCAAATTTTAGGTTACCATTGCCTTTTAATAGCGACATGTTATGCTTTTTGACGAAAAAAATGAGTTGTTCTAGCTTATTTAGGGTCATTTCCACGAAATATTTTTGCAGGGGGGCCCACGAGAGTCTTGCTACGCCACTGGTACCCAATACACATGAGCCGTATTTGAAGTCGCTATCATTCAGTTGATATAGGTGAATCAATCCATCTTTTGTAGACTTTTTATTGAGCTAACTGACACTTCTATCAAATCAACCAGGATATAGACAATCAGTCACTGATTTGTATGGAGCCATTATGTAGTGGAAACACCCACGTTCGGCACATAACTTATCTATCCTAGCATTTACGTCCTTGGTGGCGATGAGGGGTTTGGTACTTGAATTAGTAATAGTTATCCAGCGACGCCGACAGTAGAAAAATAGGCAATCCCGTTCATATATATATATTTTTTTCTTTCAAGATCCTGCGGTCGTCGGACTCCCACTGTTGGTAAAACCGTTACATTTTTATAAAGACAAGTCTGAGGCACCAGAAATTCTGCGGGATATGAATCAAAAGGTTATACAGTATATATATATTTTTTTATTTGTCTAGGGGCCTGGTAACTTATACCCAATAACGCGTTAGGCATGCAGTGCCGCCACGACATAGATATCGAATGTGAAAACTATAACATGTAAAAATATAGTCAAATTAATGATACTTTATTATTAGAGTCGTATTACTGATTTGATTCAAGTTCGTTCTGGGTATGGGAATATACCTAGCAAGTTAACGGTCCAGATGCAGGTACTTCTTGAACATAAGTGACGTGAACTGTCCACTATCTAATGTACAATTCATTTAATCTGCTGCCGTTGGCACATACTGTACTAATGATTATTACCAGCACGCCAGTGTCCAACAGAAGTTTCGAAACATGTTTCACAATACTCCAGTTTAGGCTGAACAAAATTATGAAACTATATCGCTATAGCTCCACACCACTTTTCGAATTATAAGACGAAATATGAAATGTAATTTCCTAAACCCGCTATATTCTTGAATGCTAATACCAGATCATTGAATCTGATGGCGTTATTGTCGTATCCGCCGAATACAATCATTCCATTCCGCCTGCCCTTTCAAATCTGTTGGATCATTTCGCAGGAAGTTCGTTCGCTTGGAAACCATCTGGAATAGTGTGCTATTCTCCAGGTAAGGCACACATTTTTATATATTTCCAAGTTAGGAAAGTCAAGAAGACAATAGATCATATTCCGAACTACATGCTTTCGTTCGGTATGTCGAGTATGGAAATAGCTGACCAGTTTATTTTTATTTATCAATTGTTCATTTTTTTGCTTAATTAACAAAAATTCCGAAACCATTACACCATTACGATAATAATCAATACAATAGGTCGCACTACATGACAGAACTCATTCGAAATAGCACTCTTCTCACTTACCCAATGGTAAAATGATATTTTTCATGACTATCACTGTTTGTCAATTTTCTTCAAAGGCCAATATGGAGGAGTGCGATCGGCTATGCAGCTCCGTGCGATGCTTGGGGAGCTGGGATGCATCAGCATATCCAATTTATTTGCTATACCAAAGGTTCATGAACGTATAGACGAGTCTGGCAAACTTACGGTTAGTGGTTTTCGGTGTAAAGAGATAAAATTTTCAACACTCTTTTTTACCCATGTAAATTACCTGAGAAATTAGAATGAAAACGTCAGAACCGCTCTATCAAAATTGTCATTCAAGTCAACTTGTCACAATGTATTTGATCAAGTACCATTACCTCTTCAACGGTATGTTTACTATTACGAGTACTAACCAATCAATTTTTCTGTCATTTCCTCCAAGATAGTGCAGACAAAAGCGCAGATGTAGAAAAATTAAGTTAGGATTGCTTTAGGAGAGTTTAGTCGATGCGATTTTTTGCCAGCGCTTTTCGATAGTCTAATTATATCAGTTCTAAGCATATTGATCATTTTTCTGCGCGAAGTAGCAGTTGAGTAAAATATTGTATACATTTCATCTTATATTTTCTGTATGCCAGGGTTCGCAAGAGTTCACCTTGAAGTGCGCTGACTCTTTCTTTCAACAGCTCGAATGGTGGGCAAATGCCGCAAAACATCAAAGAGATGTTGTATCAGCAAGTTCGTCAAAATAATAGCCCTCACCATGGCACACTTTCTTTCCAAACCAAAAAATAATTGCACACATATGTTTACCATAAGTAGTTTTGTATTTTGAAGCCATCTTAATGTTATATTATCATGGACAGTTTTCTCACATTCGTGACTATCTCCATATTGCTTTCGCTAATGTTACTTTCATACTTTCGACTTTGCATAAATAAATTGATAATGCTCGTAGAAGATGCCGGAATTTTTTTTATCTCGTTTTAGGTCCTGTAAGTGAATATAGGTGATTTATGGGAAAATGCAAGTAAAGATGATATTTTAGATTCTCATTGTGTGGGGAAAGATGTTTAATGCTGTATACATGTATGCACATATACAAGAACCATGCTGTGAATAATATTAAACTGCATGAGGACCTATAAATACGTATTAAAGACACTGTCTTAATTATAAATATTATTTTTGGAACTTAATTATCGCATGGTTTGTGAACACCTAAATAAACAACCCCTTCTCCGTGATTTTATCAACTATTCAGTTTTCAAGGGAGTATTTAAAGATTGAAACCCGGGTTTCATATCGCACGTATTCTAAGCTTGACTACACTATACGATAAAAATAATTGTGCAAGTAACGGGGTATCCAAGAATGCTTTGGGCCCTTGTTTAATGATAATTTGCTAAAAACAAAATCTCGCTTACTTATTTCCATAGGCTACTAAAAACGTACATTATATAATAATTATCGTGCGCTGAACGCCTCTAAATAAAGTAGACGCGATGCTTAACAGTTCATTGACAGACAGCGCTGTGCGTTACATCGGTATCCGTACATGAAAGTTATGCTGTGGATAATAATTAAAACATGTCCACTAAAATTCCCAAGGCTTCCTCAGTTTATGGACTATCGAGATGAAAGACTGCTTGTTCGAAAGAATATTTATTTCCGTGGGGCGTTCTCGAAATTTTAATATTGGACTTGGGTTGACCAAAAATAGCGAAAAATTATGAGAAAATGGAAAATTTTTAACGATCGGCGTATTTTTTCGCTGCTGTCATGATAACAGATCAACAATCCAGACTTTTGGTGAAACTCACATTACTGGGGTGACAGCATAACCCACGTGAGAAATTTTGATAAAATCGGACCATTACTTTATTAGAGTGTTTAGACTCTAAACTGAACTTTAGAGTTTAGACGCTACAGCTAAACACACCGAAAAGTAGACAGAACGACTGAGAATAAGGGTCTTCTGGAAAGGAGATTGAAAAAACTGGCACGAAAAATCCATTGTCATGAGGCCACTGTCAGTAAATGGCGATATTCATTCATTTCAGTGTAATGACTTGTCGTATATCTCGCATGAGCTACCAGTACAAATGACATCAATTTAGTATAAACGTATAATATTACTGATGACCAAGTTATCGATAACGGGAATAACTGCAATTTGTTTGTCGACGAACAATATACTTTTACTTTGTTTTGTAGATAAAGTACCATTAACTCCCGGGAAAAAATTACCAAGCCGCTCCCCGCACCCGGTGTTTTCCCTAAAACCAATTCAAATTAGTTATCGAATCAAACTGTTGCGCTATCGATCGTCAGACCTATATTTAAAGTGGCCTATATGAGACAAAGAGAAAGATGGGATATTTTCAAGGTCAATTTATGTATTGAAAGTTGAAACGTCTTTTTTACTTTGCTTTGAATGCTAAAGTAAATTCTATTCTATTGTACTATGTTCAATAATAAAATAAGTTATCACGTTTTATTCGGCGAGAAACCATCAGATAAACCTGGAAAAATAAATCTACGCTCAAATAATGTTAATCGTCGCTTAAATATACAAAAACAAGTTGATGTCTATAAATTATTACCTTTTCATAAGTTTGTTTGTTTGTCAGTAAATTCATGAAAACTTGTCTAGGAGTGAATAATCATTTACAAAGCTATTGTGAGCAATAGGATGCACAAATAGAAAATGGCATCATAGTCACCAACAAAAACTGACTGACGAAGAGGATTTAATAATAAATTCCGATTCAAAATAGTCAAAGGCACAAATACAAATTTGTAAATAGAATTTTAGCGCAGAAATTCCAGTGACATAAAAAAAAACGTTCATGTTGTTTGAGAAAGAGTCATTACGCAGTCATTTTTATGCTATATGGACTTGACTGTATTGCCCTATTTTTTTATTGGGGAACATAGGTGAGCATTTGTGTATACTGTTTATACGCAAATCGTGTTTTGCCCGTTTCAGAATAACATAAAGAATAAAAATATGGAAATATGCATAATGACCAGGGGAATTTAGTTTTGTGGAGTCAAATACGAAAATATTCACAAATTCTAGATCGAGCCTAATAGTTCTTGGTGGACATTTCATGAAAATTATATTTGTCAGACCGCACTCAAAATTACTTCTGGGTTACTTCATTTATTAAGCGAATTTAATATTTCCCGCGTTTATTTGAATGTTTCCTCGGTAAAAACATTAGTATTCGAAGCAGAATGAAAAAAGCGTTTTTAATAGTAAGCTATCCAAATCGACATATTCGAGCTTCCCTTTGTCTAGTCTAGTCTAGTCTAAATATAGGCCTGACGAATGGTTACGCAACGCTTGGAGCCTTGGATGCACCCCCTCTTTAGGTTTTAGGGGAAACACCGGGTTTAGCGAACGGTGAACAAATTGGCGAATTTTATATTGTAGTTAAAGTTTCTTTGTCTACAACTACGGGGTGAATCTTATCTTTGTTCGCCCACATACAGTTTACAGTGGTTTTCCTTCTCTTTCCCGTCAACGTGGTACCGACGACTTTTCGTACAATAATTGGTTTTCGAGAACTTAAGTTTTAGAATTAATTATCATGTAGCAGCTGCTTAACCTCAGTAGCATGGACTTCAAGCATCGCATCAACCGATAAACATTCGATTATTACCCCACCATGAGCATGCATGTTTTGAGAATATTTTGGCATTTTAAGTGCACGCAGGCTTGCTTTGAACAAGTTCTAATTAGGTAGACTCGAGAGGAATACGAATCTCAAAACAACCGTTTTGAACAGCCTGTGCGTACATGACGATTTATAGTTATATCACAGAGATCTGGTTTATTTCAAGCACAAGTGTTCTTGCGATTTTGCACTTTAATAACATTTAACAGCCATAAATTAACATTTTGAACTAGTTGAATATTTTCGACATCTAGTAAAAACAATTTTTTGATACAAAGTTGAGCGAGAACAATTTTAAAATGTCGTTAGATGAAAATGTATGCGTCTTAACTTTCGTTCGGGCGTACAAATTAAAACCGTGTGTGTAAACAAATAGACCACAGATTGAAACTGTACATTTCAACGCGGGCTTGTTTCGGCTGGCTTCAAAATTTAAAACGAAGCAATAACCTAATTAAAGTGAACAAGCATATCCCATGTACCTTTTACATGTGACTACCGATCTAACTGCAAAACAATGTGCTTGGTACAACGTAGATCAGCGACAATACAAGCATATTGTTTCGCGGAACACTGGTTAAAAATCACTGCTGTAGTTCACCAGTTAATCGTTACGGGTATATGGACCTGAAAGGACAATCAGTGGTTGGATTCAAATTTTTTGTCAGCCGGTTCTTTCACAAAAGTCATATTTTCAGCCGGTTCTGTTACAAAAATTCATATTTGTTTTAGCAAATAAACTGATTATTTTTAATTACCGTACTTCCTAATTAACATTTCAAAATAATGGTTAAGTAAGCATCATTATGTCAAAATTAGCCTCGGAATTTTTAATGATGTTGAAGATTGTCTATATTGCTGTATATATTATATACTCGTTGATACTGAAATTAAACTCAAATTTTGCAGTTTTTACATCAAATATTTCCAAATGGCGACCTGATTGTCATCAATTTCTTTATCTGTCGTCTCATGACTCATGACGCAACAATTCAATTTTCAGACAAACAATCACAAAAGAAAAATTACTACAATTATAAAAATTAACACAATGTATAACTGTTACGTGCGAACTTGATCATTTCACATTTTGAAAAAAACATGGGAGCTACTTGATCTCAAAAATCGGTGTGTCAGATAAGATGCGAAAATCCATTGACCTCAACTAGCAATGCTAACAGGTTCGCTGATCTCATAAAATTGCGTGAGAGGGTTCTATAGAAACGGTGCGAACTGACTGAATCCCACCACTGAACGTAACCGAACCGTTGAGTTTACAGTTTTTAACTGAAGCATTCGAAATAGAAACTCAACAACTTGAGTCTTCCACACCCGAGAGGGAACTACAGCATTGCTTTCCTTTTCCAACCGTTGTTAAGATGCTAACATTAGATGAATGAACACGTTCCACATTTTTGGCAAAGCCTTTCAACTTCTATTCTGTACACTTTGAATTTTAATTGAGATTTTGCTTAGTCTCCTGATTCTATAATCAGTTATTTTGGTGACAGCATATTTGAACCCACGTACATTTGCACCCGTCAACTACACCCAGGACATTTGCACCTGAATACTTTTGCACCCGCGGACATTTGCAACCTGGACATTAGAACCCACGTACATTTGAATCCGCGTATATTTGACTGCATTTGAACCCGCGTACATTTACACCCATGTCTATTTGCAACCAAGGAAGGACGTTTGTACCTACGGACATTTTCACAAATAAATGTTTGCCCCAACGGCAATTTCCAGTCGCAAATAATGTTCTTGTTACAGGCGTAGGCTCAATTTTTTAAATTTCGATCCTGTTTCACTTGTAGTTAGTTTTGGTACACTTTTACTCGCTTCTATAAAGCAAGCATTTTTTGATTTACATCGAAATTTCCTAAACTGACGACAACGACAATAAATAGCATCTGAAACCCATCATTTCGCTTACAATATTCGTGGCCTTGTAGATCAGTAAGTCGTTTCTTCTTATGGTCTTGGGAAATGTAAGCGCCATGTTTTCTACTTCTTGTCGCCAAAAAACTTGTCGTCTTCGCCGCAGCAACGCCTTCAAGAAATAGCTTTGGAATTGTTTGCAAGGGAAAGGGCATTGAGGCGAGGGAAAACTTTGCGCAGGATTGAACTATCGCATCAATTAAAAAAGCCTTGATTCACGCCAAGAGCTTCAAGAGTCGTCGACCGTTAAAAGCACAAATACTCTCAATTTTGACCAGCATTCCACCGTGAAACATTTTATCGATTGTGTCGGGTGATATCGAAATGTCCGTGGGTGCAAATGTACATAGGTTCAAATGTCCGTGGGTGCAAATGTACATGGGTTCAAATGTCATTGGGTGTATATATCCATAGGTTCAAATGACCATGGGTGCAAATGTTCATGGGAGCAATCTGTATGTGAGTGGAAAAATCTTTGGGTGCAATTGTTTATGGGTTAAAGTTTCCGTGGGTGCAAAAATATGCAGGTGCCATTGTCCTGAGTGCAAATGTACGTCACGTGGGTTTAAAGATGATGGAACCAGTTATTTTATTGTCTGTTAAGTTGATTAAAGTGTCGAAAAACGATAACCTTAATACACTGATCAATAACTGCAAAACATTTACTGACTTTAACTACATGCTGGTCGTCCCAAAGCTCAGAGATTAGTCAGCTAATACCATAGGCTATACAAATTATGTTGGTCTCTCCATATATGAAGGATAGGTTTTACATATTTATCCCGGGAGAGAGGAGGACGACACGACGCTAATCATATGGCGAACCTCGGCCTCTCGTCCCGATACCAAATCATGTTGCGTACAATTAACTGAACTCGCTTTTCTTTCGATGGCAAGATTACAATCAATTCCATCATCGGCTATGAACAAATTTAGGAAAATTTAATTGAACAACGAATTACTATAAACCTTCTGCAACTACCTTCTGACGTAAAACTACTACAGAAAAGAAGGCACTGTCCTACTCAGACCTAATAGAAAATCTTACAATAATGTTATAGAAAGAAATTTATTGAAAATGATATAAGGTGATTTTACACAGTGATAATATCAATTTCGTATATGTGAATATTTGGGATAATTGAATAAAGAGTACCTGATATATAAGGGTATAAATTTAAATCGAAAACGTAGTGATTGCTATTAAGAATTTTATTAAATTTATCTATTTCCCAAAGACATTCTTTTGATATCATGATAAGCAATGATGAAGATGTGTAGCTATTGTTCGGATTGTATATAGCATAAAGTTGCTTTTATGCATCTACCATTTAGAATAAGTATTTATTTGAAATTAGGTTTTAAAAATTCTTAATCGTTCTGTTACTTTTGCATTGCAAATTGGGCATTGTTGAGCAAATTTTCCACATTCAAAACAGCAGCATAAATGCCCACAGTTTGTAAAAACGCATGATCTCTCATTTTCAAAACAGATTTTGCAAATTGATTCATCCATTATACTTTCCAATTGCCTACGAAGATTGAAGTCAATTGATGAATTGTCTGCACATACCTGTTGTACAGGACCATCGCTAACTGTGATTGATATGGGGGGTGATAAATCAAAATCCATAGTTTCTGTCAAATGCTCTGATTCTTCAGCTTTGATGAGATCGTCAATTAAAGCAGCCAGACCGTCATATGAAGATTGAGATAAATTTTTCTTCTTTTTTATAACATTTCTTATTAACTCTTCATTGTATCCAAATTGTATTGCTTCTGCAATTAATTCATTCTCATTTCTTTCTGGAGTTACTGGTTGTTGTTTATATGAAGCACCAGTGGGAATTTCTGTTTGATTGTTTCTTTCAACTTGGTGCTGGACAATGCCAACGTTTTCTTCTCCTGGACGTTGTAGATTAGGATATATTGCATTAACATTCGAAACATATTCAGGGCCTTTTCGTTGAAGCAAAAATTCACATCTAAAAAGAAAAAACACATTTTTATTATTACATAAATCAAATAAATATTTGAAAAAAAAGTCAAAAACTCATTAAGACACTTACCTTGGAAAATATTTGGCATGTTCAGTCCATGGATCATCTTCAAAATCCCAGTTCTGTAGTCCGCCATTGCAATAATAACATTTACAGCGGTCACGATCATCTGTTTAAAAAACAACTCATTATAATCAGCTGTGTTTTTATAATAAAATGTCTTCACTTAAAATGCAAAAGTAAGAATTGTTTTATAAAAGTGCATAAAACTTGGTTGCGTCTTGATGTAAATTTATGTGTTTGATCTACTTTAATAAAATTTATATGACAATTTCAAAAAATATTCACCTAAATAAAAAAAGCCTGCTTCAGCGAGTTGTTCAGGTGTTGCTTGTATATGTCCTGGCCAGTTTTTAAATGATTGCAATCTTGTTGATCGATTTTCATAGGATGGATTGGTTGGATTATTGCATGGGAAAATGTCTCCAAGATTAATGCTGAAAAAATAAAAGCTTTATATAAACCACACTGATAAAAATATGAATCACAGAGTATGACACCACATAAAATCTAGAGAATATAATAGTTAAATGCTTTACCCATATACTGCAATGCATTTATAACTATGGCTGTATATATGCTATAAATTTTTATATTCTGATCAGTATTTTCATAAGATATTCACCTTGAAGACAGAGGGTGTCTGCTCCCAAAACCATTATTTTGGCCAGAAGATCGTGAATTAACATGTTTGCTTGGTTGTCTCCTAAATATGTAAATAAATAGCAGTTAGTTCCATATTACAGTATTATGATAAAATATTCAATTTATATGTATCCTGTTTCACATCTGAATATATTAGTACACCTGATTTACTGTACATATATCGGTGCATTTTAATACAGTAATATATTAGAGCTGGACTATATATCAGGGATGGCTAATCTTATATAGCCATCCCTGCTATATAGTAGGATAAGATTTACATATTACATATAATATACTGATATACAGAACAATTTGTAATTTTGAAAGTAATCTACCTCGCTTCATAGTCGTTCAACTGTAAATGATAATCCATTCCTGTTGTTTGGGAGCAGACACTCAAAGTATAATCAAAGACACTAACCGAGGATATAGTACTGAAATGCGAATGTACTGTATCCGAAAAGCCAACACGTCGCACTTATATTCATTCGATAGCAAACAGCCGTTGTTCAATCCCTCGCGTCGCCCAGAAAGAAAACCAGCCGTTTTACCGAGGGGAATCACCCGGTATTTGACTGATAAAATGCCCGTAAACTGTCTCGGGTATTGCGATGGGTGGTGCGAATTCGCTATACATACCTACTTACGCAATACATCTTCCTTAGTAATTTAGTGTTGTTGCTTTATAAAATAGGTGTCAAAAGCATCAATATTTTTTAATGGTGATTTTCAACTAGCCGTGTTTCCCCGGAAATAAGACTGGGTCTTATATCAATTTTCTTCCTATTTTCGGAATTACGAGATTTTCAAATATGCAAAATATGAAAACCGATATCAGTTTACTTATAAATAACGCGTTATTATTCAAAATAGCTGCAAAACATAGATCATAAACATACATACATCATTCAAAACGTACAAGAGAGATTTCTTGCTATCGACCAATTTAAAAAGGGGAGAGCTTATAGTAAAATCATTCTTAAAATTCAAGCTAGGTCTGATTTTCGGAGAAACACGGCACTTGTTAATGACGTAATAGTAATAGTAAAGTTCGCGAACTATATTTAAATACGGTAGCTACTTCGACAACATATTTCATTTTGTAAAAAATACCCACCAAAATATTTTTCAATACAATATCTCTAAAAATATTACTTCAATAAATGTCCACTATGTTTTACATCAAACTCGATAGATTACCTCATTTGGTAATATCGACTCACTTCGTTATATTTGTCAATGTTATTTTAGGTTCATTTCCCGTTTTCTATTTCGTTCTGATGTAGTCACACATTGAGAGCAAAAAATTATTTTAGCTTTAAAAAATTTGGGTGATTTTGCTTTATGAATTTCATAATCAAATTGTTATCATCAAAATGTTGATTCGCTACAAAAAACTTTACAATCATTTTACCGGTATATATATATATATATATATATATATGGTTCAATTCAAGCGAAAGAATTCGACTTTGTTTCCATTGCCAAAATCATTCAATGGTGTTATTGTCGGCACGTGCGAGAGAAATGAAAAAGACAAACTAACAGCTGTATTTCATTACAATGATTAATTATTATCGATAAAACACTGAATTGGTTTAAAGTTGTTATAAACCGCTGTACGTATCTTTTCACGTTATGAATTTCGTGCAAGCCCTAAGCATATATTAATGGTAATAATCATATCATTTACAATGTGGAAACGCAGAAACTGTTCGAAAAAGATAAGACGTTTTTTCGGAGATATGAAATAATCGTCAATTCTGCCACGCTTTCGAAGGTTTTATTAAGTTTCATTGCATCAGTGTTTGGACTACCACGCGTTTCGCCAGATTACTGGCGTGATTGCAGATCGCAAGGGCGGGCAAAATAGAATACTTTTATCAAACCGAATATTTTTAACTATTTGTCGGATATCGGGTTTGTTTAGTATATATATATACAACAGGCAGAACGCTAGAAATTCTAATGTTGGTGAGACATTCTGATGTTCCTCCTTTGTCCAAGGACCAATTATCACACAAGTGGCGAACGTTTGAAAAGTTTGGCTTTATATTCCTGGGAGAACTAGGCGTTCATATCGGTGACACATGTCAAAGACAGCTAATACGGAGTGAATTTGGGATTTTTATCCTTTGCGCCGGCCCTGATCTTTCTCCCCACCGTTTGTAAATTACCTGTCCCAATTTTAAGCTAACAATGTAACCATTTCTGACGCCGGAATGCGGATATCTATAAAGACGATAGTCGTCCTTCTTATAATTTTACTTTTCTATTGTGCCTGTTTATTTTTGTATTAAATCAGCGTTTCCTAACCTTTTTTGGTCGCGGACTTATTTCCCACTGGCGAAAATCTTTGCGGACCCAAGGTGCGTTTATTGCAACCGTACTCTGTGTGAAGAAGCAATAAAACCAAACACAACGGAATTTGAACGAATTTCAAAATCGGAAATTCGCCGCAATTACGCGTCCGTTAAAGGAGCCGACTTTTTAAGTGTATAATGGCATTTTATGTCGCACTATATTCAATCCATGGCAACGACGAGAATTTAAAATGTCTTTCTATTTTAATTGTGTTCATGGTAACTCGCGGATGCGTCAACTTACGACAAGATGATAGCATTACTTCTTTAAAATGCCACAGCAATCTGATAACATATTGCCCGATTATATTTAGTTTTGAAACATATTTTTAGAGATCTTGCAAATTCGTTATCGTCGCTAGAAAAATCCTACTATCTGCTATAAATTTCCAGAAAGTACAACTTGAATTAGTACTTATTAAAAATATGTTTGAAGTATATTAGTAAATCAAAAAGACATATTCACCGCTCTGCTTTATTATTAATTTAATGGTGATCATTTTAATCTGCGGCTGTGTTGACGAAATGGGCAATACGAATCAGAAAATATCATGACAATCCGTGGACACAAAATGCGTGGTGGAGTGCCCGATTTTATTTTGTTTTGATTCGTATTTTTGTGAAAGCAACAAATCTGAGCTGTTCATACAACACTCACGGCGCTCCAATACTGTACGTACCAATGTGGGGACCTAAGGAGGCCTAAGGAAAAATGCCCTGGTACATATACTACAGTATCACCCGAAATTTTGCGATTTACAATGTATAAAGAAGCGTTTTAAATCGGTTGCGTACAATCATAAAATAAAAGCTATGGTGTTTTCCGTTTTATTTTTAGTATTTTGTATTGCCGCACTTCAATTTAGAAAATTTGGGTTGCCACCTTGAATTTATTCCTCGTTGTTCGAACTCGCGAGAAACGCCACGCGTGTGCTCGTGTTTTTGTCGGAAATTTGCAAGTGAGTTGTGAAATCCAATCGATTTGACCTGTCGCGTCACTTGTTACCAGATTTCGAATAGTGAATTGCTATTCTAATAGTTTAATATTCGAATATATGCCCAGCCATACTCAGTAACTAGTAATAATTGACTTCATTAAAGTTATGTGAATAAACTTTGTTTTTTGTGAAGTTCAACGTAAATCGTAACTTGGCTGATAGTTAACTTTCGCAAAAACGTCTGCGGCACGCAGTGAATTTCTGGCTCGTTGCGGACTCATTCAAACGCTTCGCGAACTCATTTGAGACCGCGGACTCGGGTTGGGAAACACTATAGTGAATAAAAACCCGGCAAAGTCATTGCGTGAATCCTGAATGTTATTTTGGGTTTAAATAATGATCGCAGAATTCAACGAATTGGAATCGCTTGAAATAAATTCAAAAATAAAATTTCTTCGCGGCACACCAGAATCATTGGGAACCCCTGTGCTAGAGTCAGTGTGACGGACCCGCTAGTTGTTACGGTCTAACTTGGCAATTAGAAATTTCAGAACTAACCGGCTTGAAATTTCTCTCCGAAGTTAGGACAGAGCTACGAGGCGAACTTATTTGTTGGTGTTCCTCTAAGTCTAATATACATTTTATTGTATTTGTATGTTTAATTTTCTAGAAACTTTGTTAAATTAGGCTGGCGGATATGACTCGCCGCGATTCGATATGCGGCCGAGTAGTGCGACATGCGGCGCTCGCAATTTTATTCACAATGTTCATAAACTGGGGTTTTCAATCGGAAGGGATGGGGTATCCTCATTGGTCCACATACGTCCCGCTTTTTAGCGTCTTGTCACGCCGTCCCGACAAGTCAGCCAAAAGTCCCGCTTTGGCGTTCAGCCATCCAGCATAATACACGGACATGTTCTCGTTACTGTTGTTGCTGTGTAGAGCAACGCTAGCCGACTTACTGAAGGTGAATGCGTTATTTTGTTTGTTTCTTTGTTTCCCGCTAACATTGTTAGCAAACGTATCACATGTGAAATCAATTCTAATTGGTTTTGTTCGAACGTTCACGTGAATGTAACATTGAACAACGTCTTTTTGATGGTGTAATCTACAGAAAAGCATGCTTGGGCGAATAAGTAAATTCTCAATGTTTTTTCATTATTCTTTATTCCTTTGGATGTACATAAAAAAATTTAAATTCGGATCATTTGTATTGTTAGCGTCTATTCCTTTCTATTTTTCGAACTGAACCCGATATTTAGACAGAGAATATGCGCATGAACTCTCGACGACAATATGGTCAATGAAGACAGTCGGGATGGTTCCAAATGTAGGCATATGTAGTAAAATCGGAAACGGTAAAGTTTTACAGGATCACAGCTAAGGGTCTTTAGAGGCGTTCCGCTTTGAAGTCAAAAAATATGGTAACCCTACAGTCATTGGGGATAATTTGACCTGCCTTGGGGTCATGTTTTGCTAGTAAGAAATCCACTTTCTCTACCGTAACAACAAGCTGTTGGTGCCATTTTATGATCAAACTTGACCGTTGAATATAACACATAGATCAGAGCTTTCCAAACTTTTCAATGCACAATTTCTCAATTCTCGAAAAAGTTTGTGACAAGCGTCCAGACATATATTTTGCCATCATATTAGTACGCGCTGAAAATGCTGTCGCACACATGTAGGTTGTTAATAAATTTTAATTGCCTTTTCTGACAGGTATGGATATTCGAGTTCTGTTGCATAATAATCTATCAGGAAAAGAGGATATTAGACCTATGTTTTTGAGTTAGGATGAATGGAAAAGTAGCATAGCTGCCAGCTTTAACTGTAGACCATTTACATCCGCATTTCTAGATTGGAATTTCACTTCCCCAAATTCTCCGTCATTCTGCCGTAAGTCATTATTGATATTTATAGAAATGAAAATATGAAAGATTTAGTGTTAACTTCTACTTTTTGAACTTACTCGCTAGAAAAAATGAAAACCCGTTGACAATATACATGGAAGAACGTAAAGTTTGCTCAGTCAGGATATAAATATTTTTGGCTATCAGAAAAATACGACTTTCAAAGCACCTCATTATTAACAGGCTACTATTTAATACCTCGTTTTCAAATTCAGTATTTTATCGTATCAATGATCGACAAATGACCCGACAGAACAGTCGACGAAAGAACGCACCTTGTAGGATGCATTCGTTTATGCGTATGCGTGTACAAACGGTAAATGAAACGATACAGCCTAGCAGGCCGTGTTTGGATGCAATCGCCGAGTTTGGGAGCAAGATGAAATAGTCGGCCGCCCACTATACACATTTGCAATCAACGGAAATACAGTTGAAATACAGTATCACACACAATCTCAGGTGAAATTGCCGACTTCATAAAGATGGAATTCAAACTCCTACGGTAAAACTTCCAAGTACGAGCAAATCACCTAGCCCAGGGTGGTCCAAGGTTGCGAAGTTGGCGGACCGCAAAAACTTTTGAGGATGTCTCGCGGGCCCCCGAAAGGAATCGAAGCATTGCGAGTTTACTCATGTCAAATATATTTAAGGATAAAAGTTTACCATTCTAATCAGTTTTTAAGGAAAATATTATATAGGCTATTGCCTTTATTTATTATAAAATTGCTTCCCGAGAAATATGTCCAGTATCATTCCTCGTGTTTGGTTTTGTAATGTCCTAAAATTATATTCTTTCGTGATAAATATTACTTGAACACACATCACACACTGGGGTTTAACGTTGTTGTGGGGAGGGAAATACGTTTCCTCTCAGTTCACTTTGGTCATCTTTCTACTTATCGATCTTAAGATCGGTAAGTATGTTGATAGGTATTTGTCTGTCTGTATGTCTGTTAGATGAACGCGATATCTCAAGAAGGCAAGATTGAATCTGCTCCAAATTTTGCATGTGCATTCATCATATCTCGGACCAGAAGCCTGTTTTGAATGAATTATGTCGTATAATTAGCGAGTTATTAATTAATTAGTGATGGGACACGCGGTGTCACTATAGAGTCACGAATCGAAACCGCAGTTTTGATCGATAAGTCTACGCCTCTACGGTCTCCGACCGATATTCTCGTTTTACACTTATTGTATAATTAATTGTTATATTTGACTAATTTTATTACTTGTTGTGTGAATAGGCCAGCTTGTGCTATTGTCAAAAAACAACTAGTCCATCCAAGTTAGGACCCGGACCCGGCTAATAAAAGTGGATCACGGTGCTAAGTCAGCTCTGCGGTTGGTCACTGCTGTCACATTGCCAAGGCTTGAAAATAGAGGGGTGATTTCACGAAAATACAAGCACAAATCGTCTCTCCATATGAGTAGTTACTTGACGCGAGCTTAACGGTACAAAGTTTATATAAAAAGCGCGACTCATCTCATCGACTTGGTCCTGTCTGCCAAGACATTTCTTTCTATTTTTATCGATCAGATGACGTCATTCACATATTGGCCCCGTCTTGACTTTTATAGATACAATATTGAAATGCCGTGATTTTAACAAACATCAATCCCGACATTGAGAATTTGAAAAGTGCCATTCCCAGTTGGAAAATAACTCAGAAATACAAACATCTGCCAATAGTTTAGTGCACGCTAAAATTGTTCTGCGGGCCGCACGGAATGTGTCCGAGGGCGGCATGTGGCCCGCAGGTTGGACCACCCTGCCCCTGCCCTGACCTAGCCTATTGTCTCATAGGTGGTAAGCTTTTCATTTTTCTCATGTTTTAGGTGTCAATTTTGGTCTCACGGAGATTAATTGATACTCCCGAGCAAGGTTCCCTCTAAGCTGCGCAACTGCGCAGTGCCACCTGGGCATTTGCGCAGTAAAATCTCATTCTCGCGCAGTTGCAACATTGCGTTATCAAAGTGTTGCTCATATTTTATATGTCATATTTATTAACGCTTAACTAGAATGCTCGTTCTATGTTTCACGCGTATTTTGGTGATTACTGGTCATTGTGAAGTCACACACGTGTATGTCACGCTCAAGTACATTGATTTCTGTATGCCGGTGACGCAAATTTATCGCTGTTCCGCGTTAAGGAATCTGATAATCTGCAAAATTTGTCGGGAAGTGGCACCTAATAGTGATTTGGAAAGGGCAAATCTTGGATGGGAAGTTGACCATCTAAGACGCCGTTCAAATCAGAAGAAGCATATTGACGCACTAGATCAGTGGTTTCCGACCGCCGGTGCCGGCCCACGAAGCTATTTTGCCGTTCAGTGAGAAATTTCGTTTTGTTGATTTTCTGCCGTTTCGATCGCTTTATCGAATCCGAAAAGACGGATTTACGTTGGTTTATTACACATTTCTCTTCCGCCGTCATATTACTGTTTGGTGAGGGCGGTATTAATAGCCTGGCAACGTCTTGGCGCCGTGTGATCACACTTCGTTTCCAATTAATCGCAAAATCGCTCCCTCAAATCTCGCAAGATTTATAAACCTGGAAATCAGCATGCGTGCTTTTCTGTATTTTTTACGCGAAATCGGTGACCAGCACTTCATGTTGTTATGCAAGTATATGTTATTTTATGTTCCACCTATTTCCCTTTTTGCCGGTCCGCGAATACATTTTATTTAATTTAACCGGTCCGCCAGGGTAGAAAGGTTGGGAACCACTGCATTAGATGCATTAACTCAGAAGCGAAACGTTGAAGCAAGAGGAGGTTGTTCGAACTTTCTCACCGCAATACCAACCGCTGAAGAAAATGAAGTTTTGAAATAAAGCCTCACATAGATAGTGTTCTACCACGTGTTAAGCTGAATTCATCAATATTGTCGCGAGGTGATAAATAGTCGTGTGTCAAAATAGACTAAATTGACACATTCATGTTGAAACAAAAATTATGGCTTTGAATTTTTGAAGAGCATAGAATTTGTCGCCAGGAAAGAAATTTTACTAAGCGCAAGACAAACAAAATTTCATACCCTGATTGTTGATGAAAGCAATGATATTTCAACAACAAAAATGTTGAGATTGTACATTAAGTATTGTTCTTTGTATGATTGTCGCTTGATTTAGCAATAAAACACTACAAACATGGACAAAGTGTATAAACGTTGGAAAAGCACGAAAACAAGAAGAAGCTATTTAAATTTAATGTGTGCTTTTTTCGCATTCCGATAATAAATAATAGGCTACTATTGTAACATTTCACAGCGTTAAAATAGTCTTGCTCAGTAAAACCAACATTTGCGCAGTGTGAATTTTTCTTAGAGGGAACACTGCTCCCGAGGTATTTGAACCAAGAAGGCGGACACCGGAACGTAGTATGTGTACCAGGTTAGGTCATAATTTTATTCCAATTTTAGTTCTATTACGAGTTCAGGGACTATCCAAGTGACTTCCTTAGTATTTTTATCTGGAATTATTGCCTAACCTGGTACGCATACCACGTTCCGGTGTCCGCCAACTTGGTCCACATGCTTCGGGAGTAACGATTACGATATTTATTTTTGAATGAGAGAATATCGAAGACTTATCGATGAAAGTTAGGGGATCCCCCATTTATTCACTCTGACTCTATAGTGACACCGCGTGTCCCATCACCAATTAATTAATAACTCTCTAATTATACGACATAATTCATCCAAATCAATAGGCTTTTGGTACGAGCTATAGTGAATGCACATGCAAAATTTGGGGCAGATTGAACCTCGCTTTCGTGAGATATCGCGTGCATCTAACAGACAGGCAAATACCTATCAACAAACTTACCGATCTTAAGATCGATAAGTAATCAGGTAAAAATCCGAACCCACGTCGGTGTATGAAGGTTAGTTTAAAGTTCTATTCGGGTTAGCATCATTTGAGGCTCGACAACATCAAATACTCTTACTTCTAGAGAACAAAATATGATACATATTATATGGAACACATTGCTTTATTTAATTAACTCTGCTTAAATAATTCAACAAATTAAAGAATGACTGATAACCATGCAGTGACTTAGTCCTTAGTATATATGTACGAGAACAAATTTAGCTATCACTAGTGTATATTACATTCATTCAAATACAAGTGAAAGGTAGCTTGCCTAGCATTAGGTAGACGCATGTCATTCGCGATTTGATTACTAAAAGTGAGTGACAATTTATGATTTTCATGGCCAAGTTCGAATTTTTAATATGGAGGGGAGTATTTAATATGTGTGCAAATTTAATAAGCATTGGTATTGTCATTGAATATCACTACATTTTACTCCCAGCGAGCGCAACACTGATAAATATAACTGGTGAAAAAAATTACACATGCTAAATATTGTATCAAAACAAATTGAATGAATGCCATCTGGAATTTCTAGTCTTACCAGTACCAAGACAAATAAATATGCATGCAAATACGTCCATAAGAAGCATCACATTCTGTACTTATGCTTACAAACAGTTATAATAGAATATTTATGATACAACATTCGAGTAACTTAAAAAAACTTATGATATATAGACATATAACCTAAATAAAACTGAAAATTCACGCAGTAATGGTTAGTGATTTAGCTCAACAATGTCTTTGCACTTTCTTAAAACTTAAAATCAATCAAATTATCACAGTTAAATATTTTCTACCTGACAACAAGAACTGAACATCAATCATATCATAAATAAGTTTGAAAAAAAAAGAAACATAACACATCTATCTGTCCTAGTTTTGTGCGAAGCAAAAAAAAGTTCTTTTGAAGACTATGTCAAATATGATAAAATGAAAATGCTTCTGATGGGAAAAGTTTTACTCGTCTTTCTTCAGACTTTCGCTCACGACTTCGGCGGCGACAGCAGCAGCAGCATCTTTAGCTAAACATTAAAAATTGATTTTATGATGGTTTGATCCGATGGTAAAGCATAGCACAAGTCTAATGTTCAAATCTCAACATCTTGCAAACAGTTATAGATATCGCATCATGCTTGTGAATTATGCTGAGGAATACAAGCTTGAATATAAATATCTATCATCGCTATTCGATTAAACCATATCTTGTCTTATCTTAAGTTAGACTATGATCTAACGAAAGCTCATAAATAAACTTACTATTTCGTGGAAAGAGATTATATGTTATTACTATATATAAATACTTAATAAAAGGTGATTCGGACACACTCATTTCAAGCTCTGCTCAGGTTATTTATTAATCTTGAGTTCTTATTCATACATATGCTTATTTATTTAATCTATTACTAAAAATTATAGCCGACATTGAAATTTAATATGTGGGGCTGGCAGCACTAGCTGAAATGTTTTTAAAAAAGTCAAAAGAATTTCATGAATATCAAACTACTCCAAAGTCGGATATATCTATTATGGAGATGTAACAAAAATGTCTCGTGAACACTGAAAAGCTTTTCAAAGAAGCTTGTTACCTTCACTGGTAGCGACATCAGCAATCTTTTTGGCTCCTCCTTGTACAACATTCAGAGCATTGTCAATGACAGATTCATTCTTCAAGATGAATGGGCGAATGAATTTGAAATAGATCATGGATGATCCATTGTATCCACCAGGAGCCATGCACCAGAGCAGGAACACACACTAGAGGAAATTAAATTTGGTAGAGTTTGAAGGTAGAACTTAGAATAACAATGATATAAACAATATACAGCATAACTGTATAAATTTAATTTTAGGAATCAAGAAATGTTTTACTAGTAGCAAGGTTTTTGCTCATCAATCTTATACACAATCAGACAACCAAGGGAAAAGATGTCATTACTTACTTATAATTTAAACCTTAAGAGTATAATTAGGATCATTCAAAGTTAATTATAGAGACGAAAGCTACAATATTAAATACATCAACTAAACCATTTCATATACATGATTAATCAAAATTTATATAATTAAAGCTATTTAAAACCACATTTCCTTGGGGGCCTAAGTTGAACCATTTCGGTTACTATCGGTAGCTGATGCGTAATGGCAGTATGAGCTCAATGCTGAGCCTGATAACCATCTTTAGCATATGGGAGTTTCTTGTAATTTTCAAACGCCAATTATGATAATTCGGTCTAAAGTAAAAGAATTGCTAATCAATGGTATAATGGAGAAAATTATGAACCTTTGAAAAGCCATTGATCAAAGATAAAGCCTGTGAAGGTTGGGTGTGGCAGCTTACCTTTGCAAGAAAGTAAAATGGGAACCAAGAGAGGAAAATATCAGAGAAGAACTCTACAACACTGAATGTGGCAAAGACTACCCAGTACATCAACCATTCTGTATCATCATCTTTGTCTTTCGACTCGATTGCTTTAACGCTAAAATGTCAATTTGATTTCATTAGCTATGCAGTTCACTGTGGACCAAACATAATTGTGCCTTGTTGGTATATGTGTGCACTATCACACAAAACAGGAAGCTAATTTCTTAATATGATAGACCTGTATTGATTCATTGTTTACTGATCATGTCATCATCAATCGGCAGGTGATGATTTCACATAAGAAAGATATCGTCACATATATTAGACTATCATTTCCAAAAATTGGGTCAAATGAGTTCATATATGCATATGGAGCTTAAAACAGTCAATAGCAGAAACTTTGATGAAAATTTCCCCAGAAATGAAATGCAAAATATGGAAGTTATTTTTACGAGTGAAAATGTTAAAAGCCAAAAATCTACAAAATTTTTGAAATGGATTAATAAAACTGATGATGAATCGTACGTTATGACTTAATAATAAGAAAAATTATCGCGATTGTTATTGAACATTCAATATCGAAATGTTGTATATATGAATTTTAAAATAACAAACTATTTGATTACAGACAAATTTTACACAACACAATATCATTCATTATCAATAAATTAAGAGGATTTTGCCTATGTCTAGCTGTTCTGGATAGGGGCCACAAAAAGGCAAACATTACTGTCTATAACACATCAAAGCAAACCACAAATCTTGTATGTTACGCAGAGTGTGTATTGCTGACAAACTTATTGATCAGACATTTGCAACACAGTACGCCTATGTGCTAATAGATCAGTATCGAAAAATGGAAGCAAATGTTGCATAAGCATATAAAAAGGTTGGGATACAAACAGAAAATTGTTGATCTTCTCACCTTTTGTATGCAGGATAAACAAAGCCTATGGCATTGCAGATGAGTGATGCAAAATAACCAGAAGCAATCCACATTAAAAAGAATCCAAGAAGGCCTGTGATCATTTATCATGCAAAATGATGATTATTAATATGTAATCGAAAGGTGAAGAGTGACATGCACATGCAAGAGTTAGATAAAAAATAATTTGGTTCTATATGAGAGCTTTTAAGCTTTAGTGGTAAAGCCATATTTATTCATATTCAAAATGAATACTACCCTAGTTCCAGACGACGGAAGTTCAAGAAACTCAATTGACATTTTGGTACACTATATTTCATAATTTTAATACTAATTTATTCAATTTAGAATAATCAGTGACTTCAAAGCATGATTCCAATACCTGAATGTCATAATATGTTGACCGATAGTCTTAATAGGTAAAACGAAAACCTCTTTACAATGAAATGTCATAAATCTTACAGAAATTGCCTTTTACTGGAGGTAAATATATGCGGAAATGTTTCTAATTCTGTACTACTATGTTGGTCCCATAGTTTGAACACAGAACATTGCAATTGGGAAAATAACAATATTAACACTGGTACCAAACCTCTATTTATTCATTCAGCCTGAACATATGAGATAGTTGTATACAGCAAGATATAATGTAACAGAATCAGCACAATGTATTGATTGAAGTGGACTTCCTTCAAAACATAAGCCACATGTTGAACGCGATACAATGAAAGCATGCGATGAGGCATACACAACCGGCAAACTGCCTATTGAGTATGACGCAATATGTTTATTTGTTCAAAAGCGGTAACGAGGTCCGGAAAGTTTGCGAAATGTTTGAAATGAACCATTCAAAATTTTTTAAATAAACAGATCATAGAGTAAAAATTTTCTGTGAAAGTATAATCCAAGTTATATTTATTGCAATTCGACCCTTCATAGCTACTTTACAAAAATTATATATAGTTTATGTACCATGAGCCTTACATTCCCAGTTTCACACATCATCAAAACAGTCAGGCACTGAACATTTCATGAACTAATAATTTGATATCTTATGGATATGGTCACAAGAAAAAATAAAAGTATTTATTCCATTTAAGTGGCCTTCTATGTAGAGGGCATATAAGGGGCTGTCATATAAAGCAAATTTGACTTTTACATACATTAATAATAACCCCTGTCAGACAAGCATGGATCAAAGAACTTACAGTGACATAATTATTTCATGCAATATTTATCAAGATTAATGACAGACCATAATATAGATTGCAAAACAATTACAAGACAAAGAAGATAATGATCTCATAGTGCAGCATGCAGATTGATTACTCAGAACACGAATGACATCAAACAAGTGCAACAAATGTCGGAATGAACATTCTTGAACCATTAACACATGAGACAACTAAACTTACGAAATGTAGGCAGGGTAAACAAATCCTATGACATTGCACAACAGGGAAGCGCCGTAACCGATCACCAGGTAGATGGCAAGGATAGACAAAATTGCTGTAAAAATAGTTGTCAAATTGTAAATGTTATTGCCAAGAAACACCAAATTCTGAACAGTCAAAATTAGTAAAATATTAAAGAAGCATGCTTTTGTCAACTAAGGTTGTAGTATTTTATTAAAAGATGTATATTTTTGGGAGATATAATTCACCATTGCGCAAAATTGCCTCTTTGTTCTGTAACTTAATCCGAAATAAACCAATGGTAACAAATTATGTAAAAAATTTAGTAATACAAAATGACTTATGGGCATGTCCAACTCCTAGCAAAGTATTTACAAATTCAGTTGATCATTCTTTGGTGATAAAACTGTAAATTGAGTGGAATATTAATTTAAAGTTTCTTGTCACACCCCAAGTCAAATAGTTAAATTAATTCTCACTAAAAATAGGTTAGTTTAAATGACACTAGCATGATATCACCAGCGCTTATGTATCAAAATTTGCAGCATGATTAAAAACATATGTGTACAGTTTGATGTGAAACCACGCTCATTCCAATAATACAGCACTGTATATTGTACTGTTTTACACATTTACAGTTTTAAACAGGACTTAGCATAGAAGCCGGAATAAAATCTTTGTGTCGTCATGGCTTTCTAAAAAAATGTCATAAAATTGAAATTAAGCAGATTGTTATGATTCAAGCATTACATTGTAGCAATGTAAATAGGATACCATACATTGATAATCGAAATGCCAGCTTGGGATAGGAGAAAACAACAAGAATTTCAAATGTTTGCCATTGTATAATATATTTTCACACAACTACACCCAACTCAACAAACATAAGAGGGTATCAAGCAAACAGACATGGTATTTTGAATAAGGTTCAATTCACTCAGAAACATTACCCAATGGGTGAAGCTTGGCGTGTCAATTGTTATGCCTTATTTAGCTATGGCTGACACCTCGGCAATATGTTTAATCAAACACGAATGGCTGTTGGCATATTGCAACAGCAATGATACAAGAATAACGTTCTCTCATATTTGTAGATATTATAATTTGTCTGAGCTTTTTCATCGAAAGAGTAAACATGACATCATCAAGGCGGGGTCAAATGTAAACAACGGCATCGAGATAAGAGCACACACAAGTGTTGTGAAATTGTTTGTCTTCAAACGACATTCTACATTTTCCTAATCAAGCAATTTCAATTCGACCAAGTTTCACAATTTTGTATACAAAGCAGCATTTTATCTGCCACAGTATCATACCCAAATCTTCCAATCAGTTTGTGACCACTTGGTCACAGGGACCACGTTCTTTTCAAAGTTAATACAGTTATCACATTCTTAAGTTGAATATTAGCGAATCAAGTCAATTGTCATAATATCAACAAGGATTTTGAATTATTCTAGATTACAAATGATCGTTACATTGGTATCTTTTTAGGTGCTTGAGACTCAAAAAGTCTTCCTAGGCAGCAATCATCTGGAAAAATCAAAATTCATTCTATTGCTTCCATAAGACGCCTCACTACATTTCCTTTCTACAATATCCTAAAAAACATTTTAATGTTCATGTGAAAAAAAAATGAGCATATATTCATATATTTCGGAGTCGTAAAGGGGAAAATAACATATGTTGGACTCTATGTCTATTCTTGGGTGATAAGATTGTTCTTTTAAACGAGCAAGAAAGAATACAATGCCCAGGATCCTGAAGCAAAATTACAATCCAATACATTCACTCTTGTGCTGCACTGCCACTATCTCATTGGCCCAGGCTAAATGGTACGTCAGTGGTAAAATCAACCTATCATAAAACTGACTTTTCTAACTTACCATACAAAGTCCTGGGTTTTTTGACTAATTCATACACACCATGACGCCTTAGAACGTCTACAGTTTTCTGATATAAGTTTTTGATATGTTCTTCATCTGATGACATTTTCTTCCTTCTTGTACTGGCTGGCTAACAGCAGGTGATAATGCTCCTCTCTTAACCACAGTATGTTTTATAATACCTATCTGAGGAAGTTATTAAACTAATACTGAAAGCAAAATCTCTTAGTGAACTGTATTTTACATAGAAAAAGAAGTGCTGCTCATTGATATACTTAATAATAACTGTAATGGGATTTTTTTACTCAACTGGAAGGAAACAATCACCTGCACTAATGAAACAACTATTTGTATTCAGAATTAATTGTTTCTACTCTGCAAAAAAATGCACTAAAATCATTACTGAGTGAGATGATATGAATACCTCATATCTATCACTGCTGTTATACATTATTTGATTAAGGTAGGAATAGGGATGTCAACGCTGCATGAAATTGTTACAAGGTTGGAAAAACATATAAAGATGATAAGGATTATAATTATGAAGATTCCCCACATGGGCTAGATCAGGGTAGTCCAAACCCTGGCTTCATTATCTATGGCCCGCGCTGCCATTGCGGGAGGGTAAACAAAAAATCGAACAAAACAAAATTTGGTGTTGTTTTGTCATAAAAATAACCATAAAATAATTCCTGCTGGGTGGTTTTTTGCAATCAGCCTAAGCCAGTGGTTCTCAACCTTTTTTCTTCCGTGGCCCACTTTAGTTGCATAAAAATTCTGTGGCCCACTATCTTTCTTATGCAAGGGAAAAACTACAAGAAAAACAAGACTGCAAAAATAAATACTTTCACTTTAATAATTAGAATGAAAAGCAGCAATGAAAATCTAAACTTTCCAATAACCATAGTCATTTTTTAGTAGGCGTGTGGCCCACGGCCCACTGGTTGAGAACCAGTGGCCTAAACAGTATTAAAAAAAATGCTGCCTATATGTCAGAAAATTTAGTAATTACCCTCCTGTACCTAAAATTTGGTAAAATTCGGTATTCAATCAATCTGCAGTTATTTATAAGTTAAACTCTTGTGGCCCGCGAACACATCAAAAATAATAGTGTGCCCCAGGAGGCGATCAACCTTGGACCACACTGGGCTAGATCATATAAAGATCAATCCTTCATGCACAACACCAATCTCTAATAATTTTCGCCTTTTAGATTGAAGATAAAATCATAATTTTGATGATATACAAATGCAATTTCAGTTTCAACAGTTTTTTTCTTAGACTTTAATAAGCTTTGAAGTTATGTAAGATTAGTGCCTACTGTTACTTATAAAAACTCATTTGAACTAAAATATACTCAAAGTCAAATATTTTTATTCCTGGTAAAACTGTTCGAATATTTGTCCATTTATACAAAACCCTGTACTGTCATAACTAAAAATAATAATACGAAGAAAATTTCAAGCTTTCCAGATTGAGGTTTTTTTTCTCAATGTGTACAGGTGTTATTACAAGTATTTGTTTCCAATGGTGCTGCAGTTGATATTCTACAAATGACATAGATTCAATTTTAGGGTTGAAAACAAAATATCTATGATGCATACAAAAGCATTAGATCACAGCACAGAAATATTTGATAAAAAAAAGATTTCTCTTCCATGTTAAAATACAAAAGAAACATATTTACGCAGTAATAGTATCACTTACATTTAAACATCCTCATTATGGCATACATACAGCAAACGATTGAAAAAACATTACTAATCATGTTATCAAAATTAAACATTGCTTTTTTAACCTACCAATGGCCTGATATCGTTTTTTAACGTTAACCTTCTTTTCCACCTTGTCAAATCCTTCAGTGATAAAATTTTTGCTTTCAAGTAGTTCATCCAATTTTTGCACCCAGGTTTTTGGTGACACAATGGACCCGGAGGTTGCTGTTTTTTCTTCACTGGCCATATTCAACTATCAGTAGTATTTTAAAGATGCCGAGATAATTCTATTATTTGTTGTAAGAATTAATAAGTCTACTATTCTTATGATTGGGATAAGCTGATGTGTGCCCTGCGAATATAATATATAAATTTTAATATCAATGCAGATACATTATGCACCTAAAGCTTGTTGATATTGCAGGTTAGTGAGCTTACCAATCTGCCAATGCCGACCAACAAAAGCATTGTATAAGTTAAATGTATCTTTAGAGCGGGTCTTACTACTTACTGAATACAGCGCGAAACACCGCAAAGAGCGCAAAACAGCGCGAAACAGCGCAAAAGAGCGCGAAACAGCGCAAAATAGCGCAAAAGAGAGGAAAACAGCGCGAAACAGAAGGAAACCAGCGCAAAACAGAGGGAAACAGCGCAAAACAGGAGACGCAGTCATTACCACCTCCTGCCACGAAAGAACCACGGCGCCTCTCGCCATGGTTTTATGGCGCTATTTCCGGCATATTTACAAGGTTATGTACCGGATTATAGGTCATCATGCGAAATTTTATCTACCTTTTTGGTGCTCCAGAAGTATGTGCAGCAATATGTCGCACAACCTGAATCCGCTACACACACACACACACACACTATTTTCAGGTTGTGCGCCATCTTGGTGCACATACTTCTGGAGGTCCCTTTTTACCTAACCCTAAAGCCAACCATATCCATATGAAAAATGTTCTAAATTATGGTACCCTAAATGTGTCACCAGCAGGGGCAGACCTGCCATTACAGCATTACTGGCTACATACGTTGGTTTGTGTTTTTAATTTGCTGCCGTGGTACTCCAACTCAAAACAAGGTGTCCCGAACTCATTGCAAAATTTTTTTCTGCTTCACACTGTTTCCCTCTGTTTTGCGCTCTTTCGCGCTGTTTTGCGCTGTTTCCACACTGTTTTGCGCTGTTTCCCTCTGTTTTGCGCTGTTTTACGCTGTTTCGCGCTGTTTTGCGCTGTTTCGCGCTGTTTTGCGCTCTTTGCGGTGTTTCGCGCTGTATTCAGTAAGTAGTAAGACCGCTTTAGAGCAGCTTTGATTCATTATTAAGAAACAAAATAATCAAAAAATCATTTATCAATAGAGGTTTCGCAGGACTGATTTCCAATTCTTCTCACAATGCCTTTTCGCTAGTGTATTCGTACGGTCTTACTACTTACTGAATACAGCGCGAAACACCGCAAAGAGCGCAAAACAGAGGGAAACAGCGTAAAACAGCGCGAAAGAGCGCAAAACAGAGGGAAACAGTGTGAAGCAGAAAAAAATTTTGCAATGAGTTCGGGGCACCTTGTTTTGAGTTGGAGTACCACGGCAGCAAATTAAAAACACAAACCAACGTATGTAGCCAGTAATGCTGTAATGGCAGGTCTGCCCCTGCTGGTGACACATTTTGGGTACCATAATTTAGAACATTTTCCATATGGATATGGTTGGCTTTAGGGTTAGGTAAAAGGGACCTCCAGAAGTATGTGCACCAAGATGGCGCACAACCTGAAAATAGTATGTGTGTGTGTGTAGCGGATTCAGGTTGTGCGACATATTGCTGCACATACTTCTGGAGCACCAAAAAGGTAGCTAAAATTTCGCATAATGACCTATAATCCGGTACCGGTACATAACCTTGTAAATATGCCGGAAAGAGCGCCATAAAACCATGGCGAGAGGCGCCGTGGTTCTTTCGTGGCAGGAGGTGGTAATGACTGCGTCTACTGTTTTGCGCTGTTTCCCTCTGTTTTACGCTGGTTTCCTTCTGTTTCGCGCTATTTTGCGCTGTTTCGCGCTCTTTGCGGTGTTTCGCGCTGTATTCAGTAAGTAGTAAGACCCTGTATTCGTATATTGCGAGGATACTGTCCGGCTGCAAGAATAAAAATACTATACTATGCAATTTAATAGTCCTGCTGCACACTATGACTAACATACAGACATAAATGTATTTCTGTAACGTTTCGCCACACCAAAATCAGACTTTGAACCGCATGCTTGTTCTTTTCTTCCCACTGATGTAAACTGCTCGTCTGAGGAAGTCTGATTTCAAAATTACTTCATTCTGCCATTAGAAATTTAGTGCATGAGATCATATTCGGATACCTGGATATTAATGCTTGAATGCAGTAGACTAGGCTATAACATATTTCAGAAAGTACGGTAAATGTGTACTAGCAGACTAGTCTTACAACTGTACAAAGTTGTTGAAATTACAATGAATTCTGGAATTAGGCACTTTCTGACTTTGGAAAAAGCAGTACCCTACCGGTACCGGTAGTTTGAGCGTGGTTGATGGCGACGTCATTAAAAATATTACTGGTAGACTACCGGTATTGGTAGACTACCGTATGCAATATAATTTATTTACGCCTGTACGCCAAACAACTAGCCTATTCAAGCACAGTTCGCTGGACGGCTAATTTACTTGGATCTGGTGTCACATACCGGTACGGCTGTACGGTACCGGTACCGGTACAGTAATCAAGATCAGAAGATTGGTAATTTATAACAGTTAAGAACTGAAATTTTTTTTTTTGACATTGGCAATCCTCAGGCTGTCAGGTGCCTACCTTTAGTATCCATCCAAAATCTGAAAATAACCTTCCCTAACATATTCACACCGGTCAGCCGGTGTACCGGTACCGGTACCGTATCGCTAACCAACTGAGAGAGAAAGAGTCCTGAGTCTGACAGCCTGAAGTCAAAAGACCAAAGTTCAGAAGGTATAGACATTTATTAAATGAGAACAGCGTTGGTTTTCGACAAATGCCCAACCTCCTCCAGCAAGGGCAAATTAACTACGATAAGGAGTGCGGTGCACACCCGATAGGTAAAAGGTGAGAAGAGAACTCAACATTATAATTTACATTACAACCACAATCAGCAGACGCCACTATTGACAGATGGGCGTGCGCCATCCGCGTCCAAACCGACTTCAAGTAATATAATATCCATTATTGCGTCACCCAGGTCGGGGGAATTTGCATTGTTATGTCATAAAAATCTTATTTGCATCGCAATAATCGCTGATCTATCGGAGCCGGGATGCAACTGTCATCTGCCATCGCACTTTACGCTGCGTGTGACTGATTGTCACGAGGTTTGCACGACGTAAGATCGGGATGGGAAATCTTATGTCCTACCCTTTGCAGCCCGAGATCATCAGCTACCACAGGCCCCAAGATTATAATTCATTCGGGGAAAGGAAAAACATTCCAAAAGAAGAAAACGTCATAGAAAAACTTCACTATGCTCACTTAGAAGAGGTTTTCGCAAGCCGCCAAAACAGCAACACTCGGCGAAAGCTTTTAGATGTTTCCGATGAAGAGTATGCTAAAAAGTTTCCTCAGTGGTCTCCTGCTGAGATAAGCAATTTTAAAGCGCAATTTCTAATCTTTGATTCTAACCGCGATGGCATTCTCGACTTCATCGAGATGAACAGCGTTTTAGATGAATTCGGAGAATCAAGTAAACCTAACGAACGCTGGCGATGTTTCAACTCTATGGACATTGACCATTCTGGTACGGTCGATTTTGAAGAGTTTTTGATTGTAATTAGTAGATTGCAAAGAGCCGACAAAAAAGATCCTGTAGAAGAAAATATCCTGAACATCGTAACTCGTGGAGCTCGTCAAGTTGCAAAGCTACGGAACATGAGTGTTTCGCAACAAATTGCGGATGGCTTATTTTAATGTTTTTTTTACTAAACGTGTTTGTTTTCTGTATATTGAATATTATCGCTCCTTGCGCAAATTTCATTTGAATAAAATTTAAATGCTTTTTGTGCAGTGTCTGGCACGAAAGAGCAACGTACAAATCACGGGGAAAACCCTCATATAACATTTGAAAATGCCAGGTTGCCGGGGCATTTCTTACTAAGTTCATTGCAGTTGGCGGGGGTTAGCATGTTCGCCAACGTTGGGAAAACTTTCACTCTTATCGAAGACGTCCCGCATATACCGCAAGAAGGATCGTGGGACTGTGGCCTGGCTTGCTTAAGAATGACGACAAGGTTGGTACGGTGCCGGGTACAAGTATCCGTTAACTTGGATTCTGCATTTGTCTGTTTGTTCAGTGTACATTCCACGAGCGCCGTTGCATTCAAAATTAAGGCCTAATGGAACTGAAGCAGTATTTTTGACTTCTATGTAGGGGTGTGACCTGAAAAAGTTAGATGTGGAAGTCTGGATATCAGAAATGAATGTGGCATAGGCTATTATGTGTTTTGGCATACGGTACCGGTACGGTAGACTACCGGTATACCGGTATGGCCTTGCGATTATAGGATAGGATCTACATATTTATCTGCAGATCTGTGTTCAATATTAATATTGCCTTCTTATTCATATTATCATCATGATACAAATAACAGAATAAATACACATACATACTTTTAATCTGATTAATTTATTTTTAATTTTTTAGGGCAACAAACTGTATAATGTCTCTATAATGTGAGACACAGCCTCTCGCCTTGCTACGGTACTAAGCGCAGTTGCCCATTATTATTTTATTCACTCATTTAGAATCAATATATAACTTTATTCTGAGAAACAAACCGATGCCAAAATCTGAAAACATGAAATCGTCTGTGTTTCTGGCAACACGATTAGGATATTACTCAGAGCCAGGAAATAGGCATTTCTCGAGTTTCACAGTTTAGTTCTACTTTAAAACAGATACTTGAAGCCCTTGTCACCAGTAAATACCATTGAAGAAGCCTGCAAAGAGCATAACTTGGGCAAAAGTGTTTGGACAATTGACTTGGCTTATCTTTGTCAAATTTTAGGTAATATTTTTAGTACCGGTATTTTGTTTATATTTTACTGCATTATAATCTTGTAGATCTGTTGATTGTATTAGCATATCTAAATCATGCCAACACCTGTTAAGGTATCACTGTACCTGTGTCCTGTATGCGCGTTTTTCTCTCGGCAATATGTGGGCATAATCATTTATTTTTTTTCATTCCTGTACTTCGAAAAAATGTAAACTTGCTGACCGTACCTTTTTATGTCATATTAATGTATAGGCTGCTCAAAATCAAAAGCCTGGTAATTTTCTAATCAGATTTTGATTATTAAATACATATTTTAAAAAATGGTTTTATTGATTCAAACAAGGCTCTGGCGGCAGGTAGTCATTGGCAAACATGAATTTGGAGTTAGCTTCGTGCACGCCATTCAGTATTTGTAATACTAAGTAATCTTATTTCTGTACATGATCTATTCATGCAATTGCTAAAGCTAGGTCTCGCCTATTACCACTTTATAACGGTCACCGTACATTTGAACCCATGCGTATATCCACGGGTTCAATCTATATGCGGGTGCTAAAACCCATGGGTTAGGGTTAGTATGGGTTTAACTATCCGTGAAACAAAAAAAATTCCATAGGTGCAATAGCATACAGGTGCAATTGTCATGGGTTCAAATGTACGTGGGTTCAAATGTAATGGAACCCTTTATAACTAATAGCAATATTATAAAATTGTGAATAAAAGTGTTCATATTTCTGAAATATTCCTCATAGTTTGATAAGGTCAAGCAATAGTAAAAATTAAGAGAAAACTTATAATTTCAACATTCATTTTGTAGATATCTCTCACCAATTTTGCACCAAAACGTTGGGTGTAGACAGCAATTATAGAACTGAGTCATTTTATATGAATGAGATGGAATCAGATTTATCTGAAGAAGAAAAACGAGTTAACTTGTTATTTTCAACAGCTAATGATAAAAATGTCAAAGTTGAAAAACGTTCTGTTGATTTGTCTTGTATATTAAAGCATCTCGAAACTGAACAGGTGATTTTTATTCAATATTGTGCATGAAATTGTCATCAACCACACAAATGTCAGGAAACATAATAATTTTGACAATGTATGCAACTTGTTATATAGGGCTAGCAGAGATGGCGAACTGCTGACCCACCATGTTTTTTCGGTGAAAAAAATGCAAAAAACATTTCAGCATTTAAAATTCATAATAAAACTTGCCTCAATTCAATCTAACAATAAGCGAGCTACTGTAGTATACCGGTATGCAGTCACCAGCGGCAGCACTGATACAACGTTTATGACATAGGAATATAATTGATTATGTTCATTTCCCGCAACTTGTCTAGTTACGACAGTTCCCATTCCTAGGTGCATGAACCAAGGGGGATGGCAAAAAAACATGCTAGTTTGCAATGCATTAGCGTTTGAAAAACAAGGCATCCATGTTTTCGCAAATGAATTTCATAAAATCAAGTACTAAAAATTGCTCCAGTCAGGCAGTGTCAAGATTGAGATTCTTTCTCACTCCTATTTTTCACTGAATAGAATAAGGCACTGTTTTGCTGTAACAGGTATATTAAAGCTTTGGGTTGATCTGGTCATCGTGGTAATGGTAATGTTACATTAGGCTAGGAATATGATGATTTTAAATTCGATATCTAGAGTGGAGTTTTGTAGATATGAGGTTAAACTCTTTATGCTCAAGGCTTGTTGCAAAATATTGATACAAAAAAGTTATATGTAGAATTTTGTAGCAATGGCAGAGTGTTAACATAAGGCCTGGTTATCCATTGTCCCAATGTTTGTTGCGCAAGCGAGGATTGGAATATTTGTTTTGTACTTCCAAATCAAATTTGATATTCCATTCACAAGAATCACAAGCTTAAGTTATTATAGCCATTTTTCAATATATTATGATTTATACGGACCGATTTAAGACAGTGTGTTTTACCTGGATTTCAACCGATTTTATTGTGTGTTAATTATCCAGCATATGATTTTCAGTACCGCTATTTGTTTTTACAGCCAATAATTGTTCTCATCAATGACAAAGAACTGCATAGTAATCCAGTAGATAGCAGCAATTTGGCATCAAACTCACCTCCAGAAATTCCATGCTGTTTTTGGTTTTGTTGCTGGAATGGTGGCGAATACTCTACCATTACATCACAACAATTGAACGCAGAAAATAATCAAATGAGTTCGGATTATTGGGGTCATTTTGTTGTCATAGTTGGCTATGACTTGAACCGAAAAATATTTTTCCTAAATGACCCTAGCCCTGACGGTGAGACCAAATTTTCATTTTGATAGGTTGCATTGCATTTGTTTTATGAGATCGTGTCTTTGTGTTAACTGAATTGTAAAGAAGTAAAATAATTGGTAATCCCCTGCTTTTGTGCTTCAAGGTCATTTTGTTTGAATAACAATTTTGACTTTTGATTTTATGTTCTTTTCTATTCCAGGTAAACACGTTCAATGCACTTTTGAAACTCTTGAAAGAGCCCGGAAAAGTTATGGGACAGATGAAGATATTTTATTTCTTTATTCTCCAACAAAAAGTTAATTCATATAATACTAGTATTGGTATCATTTGTAACATATACTTGATTTTTTCATATTGAACCAATTATCACTGCTACATGCTGGTGGATTCGATTTCACTCTTCAATCAGTATACACTTCTTTCAGCTTTGCAATTGCAACCATTTCATATAACTTTGGTACCTGTACAGTTAACAGTATGGGCAGTTACCAGCAAATGTTTCTTTCGTCCAGTGCTGCAACAATTTGAGATGATATGCAACTTCTAGTCGGAATAATACGCAATCTCTGACCATCCATCTCGTCTGTGTAAAAATAAGTTTAGTAACTTGAGAATGGCATAGGGTACTCGTACCCAGATCGTTATTTATTATATATGGTATTTTGACAGGATAGCTTATAAGACGTCGAGAACATTTTTGGTTGAAAATTTTTACATTTGCTATCGTATATTTCAATTTGGTCAAGATATGTTGTGCGTCTCGGCAATAAACCTAAAAGCAAATCCTGCCCTAATTAATTGTTTTCATCCCCAGTTTCGATAGTTATCGAACTTAACGGGAAATTTTTTAATTTCTTGCAATCTATAAAACAGCTTCTAAATATTATTTGGTTTCTATCGGAGATTTTATCGTTATCCCGACGTCGTTGATAACAATATCGTTCATTTTAGGTTGGAGGTATTGGTTTATAATCAAAAAATTATAACACGTTTTTCCATCTTTATTCTCCATTATTGGCGGACGGAAATTTGGGAATCGGGTTTAATTAATTTGATTATGATGACGATGGTAAATAAAAGTACACCAACATACCATACCGTTTTTAGTCGTTATTTCTCTGTCTATTCTTCTTTCTATGTGCATATTAAGACCATAAAACGTGTTTTATTTTTGAACTCTGCGCTGATTTGAATATTTCATGTCGACTGTTATGTATTTTTGTTTGTAAATGAATAACTTAAACTGAACGATGTTGTCATCAACGCCGGATGCCGACGAAATCCGCGATAGATATTAAATACTATTTAAGAGCTATTTTATACGCTATTTTATATTTTATATAACAAGAAATGAAAAAATTTCCTGTTATGTTCGGTCACTATCGAAACTGAGGATGAAAACAACTAATTAAGACACAAGTTGCCGAGGACGCCTAAACCATCTCGACTAAGTTAAAATACACGATAAGAAAATATTTTCAATCAAAAACGTCCTTGAAGTCTTATAAGTTCTTCAAGTCGGCGTTTATATATTGCCGAACCACACATGGACGACGACGCTAGGATATGTGCGCCATATTCGGGATTATTATAAACACGAAAAACAGTATTTGAAGTTTGCGATATTTAAATTCGATTTGGACATCCCTGCATTAAATTAGTCAGTTTTTAGTTGTGTTTCCAAAAATTAGTTGTAAATCAATTATTTTAATTGTCATTATGTCTTCCGGTGAGCTTCAGTTTAGTTTCACCTAACGAGCAAGGCGCGGCACGAGGGAAACACTGGAATTTATTCAAGCCGTGTTTCACTATCCACGAGGCGCAAAGCGAGGGAAACGTTGAAAATAATTAACAGCTTTTCGATAGCAATTCTCTGGAATGTAATAAACGGCGTTTTGCTACCCACGAGGTGCAAGACATAGCGAAGCGCCGTTAATGAACGAGGGCAAGGTAAGCGAAATGCTGGGATTTAATCGATGGCGTTTCCCCTTTAACCACGAGCAATTTATCGTGTTTCAGCGGGGCGACACCTAGTGGCTTTTCGACTTACGTCGTGGTTGCACTGGGTAAATTCCGGTCGGACTCCCCCCAGTTGAAAACGGCCTGGTTGCGCCACTGCGTGGTGGCAAAAGCTATTTTGCCTGAAAATGAAGAAAAAAAATTCGTGCCATTAGAATGGAGAAAAGATTTGATAACTAAATTGTTGGGTGATTTCAGGACTGTGCGCGTGCCACCACGTCGCTCTAGTGAACAACTCGATCTAAGACTCCAAAATGTAGGGCTTCATTTGCCGTCATTCCAAAATTCCGTGCGAACCTGCAAGGTTTGCTCTGTAAAAGAATTACATAAGAAGAGAAAGGGCGACCCTAAATATGTTACAAGATCGCGTGTAATGTGGCGTACATCTTTGTGTAGCTCGCGGAAAAGGTTGCTTTACGCAATGGCACACAAAGAAAGAATTTTGGAGATAATCACTCTCTTTCATATGATGCTTTCACAGAGCAAGCCTTTATAATTTCATGTACAGATTTTGTTTGTCCGTTGTCGTATTTGTAAATAAAATATATGTTACCCTAGCAAAAGGGCAATGTTTTTATACACGACATATAATTTCATGTACAGTTTTTGTTGTTTTGTTTGTCCGTTATCGTATTTGTAAATAAAATATATGAGAGGCGTAGGATAAATGTGTGAACCATGAGGTCTGGAATGTTTTTTATGGTCTTGTTTGGAAGAATAGCTCATTTCCTACCCAGCAATATAAGAATGAACGTTGTATGACATTTGGAAGTGATAAAATATCGCTTACATTTCACGCGTGTACATGAAAAACCCGCTGCGATAGAAAAACGTCGCACGACAAGAAAATAATTCAATAATACTTTGCGTTGCGCGCTAACCAATAACAAAAGCTAGTATGATAAGGTCTTATTTTGAAGCTCCATTCATATGCTACATAATATAATAAGAGTGGGCCTTTTTCAACCTCAGGAAGTTATAAAAATATCGAGTCGTTTGATCACCGAAAATAAGTGAGTTCACATAAATAAGCGTTTTATCTCGCGAATTCTCCTTGTCTCACGGTTATAAGCTTTTATGATTCATAATAAATGTTTTATTATGACTCACAAAAGCTTTCAACGCGATAAAGCACAAACAACCTAACGATCGATCAAGCTTATCCTGGCCTGATTCGATGCGGTGACTTCTCAAACGGAAAATTACCACAACGCTTGAACACAAAATTTTGGGGGTCGTATGACATGAATAAAAATGGGTATACAAAATTGGGCTCGATTGGTAGTCTAGATTAGGTTAAGAGGGAGCGACGTTCTGTGACGAATAGCAGGCAGTCATTTTCGGCAAACTTTCGTTTTTTAATGATAACTTTAATATGCAGCGTTAAAAAAATACACGCACACATAACTGCGCTAGCTGTAATGAGAGGAATCTGCAAATACGGCGCTTTTTGGTCAAAATATGCCGGTTTAGAATTTTTGTACGAAGTTTGACACTTCGCACACAAAAAACGAATCCCATGGAGCCCACAGGAATTTTTGAAATAATTATAAATATATACTAACCTTCTAGCGAAAAATATAATCTTTAACCACTGAAACTTTCAAAGCAATTGGTCCATTAGTTTTCTCCCCGGGGATAAATATGTGAATCCTAGCTTAAGATACATGAAGCCCATCTGATAGTGGCTTCGTGTTGCTAAGCGTCAGAAACACGCTTGCCTTCGCACCTGTGATTAGTGATTACCCTCCACGGGATAGTTGGCTCGGTCCCTTTATCTTTGCACCCAGTAACAATATCACCTGCATACTTTTGTACCCACGGACATTTGCAGCCATGGACATTTCCACCCGCATACATTTACATCCACGTACATTTGCACCCACAGACATTTGCACCCATGTACATTTGCACTCACGGACATTTGCACCCGGTACATTTACACCCGCGTACATTTGCACCCACGTATTTTTAAACCCGAAATAAATTATATATATTAGGGCTGTACATTTGACACTTTACAAACATAAAAAAGTACTTTACAAGCATTAATAAAGTATTTTTGGATAACTAAAAAAGTCGCGCTGATAAAATTCGGTACCTATTCTCCCTAAATCACAAATTTTCCTCGAAATATGCAGGTATTGTTCCACGAGGACGACGATAATTACTTTTTTGTTCTCGCACGGAATTGTGAGTTCAGTGCGAAGAAGGGGTTAATATATTCTAATCAACGGCGACGATATGCTAAAAATAGTTAACAAAAGAGTGAATCCTCAACCCATATTTCGTGATTGAAAAGCGGCATTACAAAAAACTAAAGCGGAGGATAATGCCAGAAGTTTTGGTTCAGCAGGCTCGCGCCGGATTAAAAACGCTTTTTTCAGACATTATAAATCACAAAATTTGGTGATATATATGTTAGGTTGTCTTTAGAAATTATACCGTAGTCACTGAAACTGAAAAACAGTCAATGATGCGCGCGATGTAACTCTGTAGCCATTCTGAAACTACCGACGGAGCCCCACCCGACATTTTTCAAGCGTGATACACTGTATAAGATAATTAATGTGGAAAGTATATCAATCAATTTCATTGCAATAAGACAAATTTCAATCCTTGGTATTTTTTCCCGATTTGGGGATTATTCAAACGGTGATGTTTCAAAAAAAAAAAAATCTGAGTGGCAGCACTGTCATAGGGCAAGATATAATCTGACACATTGCCAAACATTTTTATGCCCGCGAATTGCGGTGGTAATTTTGAGTGGTAATGCTTTTTTTATATTGTCGTCGATGCAACCGCAGGTTTCATTGAACACAATTAAACCAATAAAGCAGGGCATTTTGAATATGCCCGTATCGGGCGTGGATTGAATACTTTGCGCAATTGCGAATTGTAGTCATTGAGATTTTAACGCCGACCTTGAAATGTTTCGTAATGGCGATATCTTGCTTAAAAATAATCTCAAGTCAATCAGTGTTGAAATAACTCTGTTTCCGATTCCGAAACCCTAGTTTCTCTCACGGAGGCCTGAGGCTTCGTGTGGAGCACTTTGAGAACCTATGCTGTAAACAACTTGTTTCATATAAATCATGCTTTGGCCGAGTTGAGGTCGTTTCTCGCTCCCTGTTTTTCTCTTATTCCCATTGAAATACAATTCAATACAAATTGTTAAATTTAGGTTTAGCATCTACTAAACAGGACTACATGTACGAAGAGACATGCAAAACAACAATATTTACTGACTTTGTTCCATAACTATTATATATACATGTGATCATCAGCCCCTTCACAAAGTATATTGTTAATGCTATATATATATTTTTTTGTCGGACCTCCTGGAATATGCACACCAAGATGGCGCATAATCTAAACTCAGGATGTGTAACAGGTTAGGGTTCAAGTTGCGCGACATCTTGGTGCGCATACTTCAGGAGTACCTTTTTCTCTTTATAACTAACAAGAGAGCTATACTCAAATATGTGGACACGAATATTATGGGTACAAATGTCCGTGGGTGCAAGTGCAATCTATATGCGGGTGTTGAAATCTATGGGTGGAAATGTCGGTGGGTGCAAAAGCTGTAACATAACGTTTCCTGGTACTTTGACATTAGAGTTGGGGTACCAAATTTTGGGAACGGGTTCTCTTTTGCACATAACCCACTATCAATAGGTTCCTTCGTCGTCTCAGTCTAGGCAAGGAGAACTGTCGCCATTCACAAATTTTCCCTACCGGCTGAAAAATCATCTCCGACATCTGGTGAACTATATTCCAGCAACTACTGGAAATATTGAGCCTTCATCGACAGTAAATCGTGCTGACTTTCGATGGAATGACACACATCGACAATGGTACTATTTTGTGTTTTGACATAGGGCGTGCAGTTGACACTAATCCAGATTAAGACCACAGGATAAATAAGTAAAAATTCTTTATCTTTCCCCGAAAACCTTGGCTTCCACGGGTATTTCAAACATTACGGTGTGTTTATTTTCTCACGAATTCGTGATCTCATATTAAGAATCACTCTCGATCACTTACCGGTAATAAAACTTCGAATGAACCTTGGTTTGGGAGCGGTGAGGTAAATCAGCTACATATACACATAATAATATGAAGCACACCTAATTAACAGTAAGCTTTGTTTGAAAATAATTTCAGACATTCCAAAAGCATGTCAATGGCAACTAAGCTGTCCACAAATCCCAACTAACAACGCTCAACATAGGCTTTCTACTGCGAGGGTGTTCATGATATCCATGAACGTACCGCGAAGGAGTTTATGATATCTATACACTGAGTGAATGGTCTAACTGGGTGTTTTAACATAACCTCGGCCACAATTCCAGACATAAGTCAGCTAACCAATATAGTATTTGATTCACAGGCAAGTATATTTGCACAATTTGGATAACAGGAATAATTTCAAGATTTTTTAAATTTGGCGTAAATTAGAATCATATTACATCATGATTAAAATATTTAGCTTGGTCAGTTGTGTTTCCATTAGAATACTTTGTAATGTGCAGCCAAAGCCACAACAGGAGATCCTGTAGGAACACCTGGAAATGGTCCACTTGATCCAGCTACATCAAGATGAGTATATTTCAACGGCTTCTCTGAATCTACACCGTGCTGAAAAATAAAAGGTTCGGCTTATATAGTGTGGGTAAAATAGATGTGCAGTATCGAGAAAAAAGTGGGCTAATGGGTTGTTTCGCCAAATGCCTTTTGTTGGGAAATAGATTATTTTCACTGCAACTAATGAATCAATAGATTTCAAAATTTCAATACTTAAAAAAGTAGGTAGAAGGCTATTACTTTATTTCTCGATATCGACATTTCCACAAAAATTTTGCTGCTTTATTTGAATTTAGGTATATCACTTTTTATTTTGTATTGCTTGATCGCCTCAAAATTTGCTTGCCCATTCAGCAAACTCTGGGGTCTCAGACTTTAGCATACCAATGCCTAACCCATGTGTACATATATTTGAGCATTGCTCTCTCGTTTACAAATCTATGCTATCTGCTATAAACTTGACTGTAAAATACACATACCTTGTCTAGTCCAGAAGCCATAATCATGAACGCACTCGGTGACTGATGTCCTCTCGGTGTTCGTGTAGATGGTAGATTATTGCACTGAAGAACATCTTCATATTCTGACTTGCCAGTGTGGAATTCATAATCATCTCTTCGAATAGTCGATATCTCACATGGGTCGCCAAATGCTTCTCCAGACTCTTGTAGCTTCTGAACATTTTTAGTTATCTTTGCGGGGCCATTATCCATTGCACAAAAATAATTGGGCCCCATTGCAATGATAGAATGACCAGTTAGTGTGGCGATAGTGTAGAGGTGGGGATTGACTTCGTTTAATGCAATCTCCTTGGCCTCGCATAAACATTCCAACATGGCCATACGGCCCTCAGCATCAGTGTTGCCAACTCTAACTCTGACTCCTGCCCTTGTTGTAATAATTTCATCAGAGACATAACAGTTGGCACCGACGCTGTTGCGAACCATTGACATTGTTCCAATAACTTTTAGATGCTTCGGCTTCATTACGTTCAACACTTGAAAAAACCCTGCAACTGCAGCAGCACCACACTTATCTCGATGCATGCCTGCCATCACTCCGCCAGCTTTAATATCAGCACCGCCAGTGTCATAGGTTACGCCTTTTCCAACCAGGAACAAAGTGTCAGTGATAGGTCCTTCACCAGAATACTGCAATTTTATAACACGGGCATTATGTCTAGGAATAACTTTTGCACAGCGATTCACAGCTCCCAAACAAGGGTAGCTTTTCTCGATTTCATTAACATCTGAGATGACAGATACTAAAACAGATGAATTTTCAAACACCTTTTGTACATATTCAGCGACATTGGGTGCTGCCATTTTTTCTGGATCAGAACCCCCAATATCTCTGCACACCAATCTTCCAGATTCCAACGCCTTTAAAGCTTCATCTAGAAGCAGTGATTTATCCATATTCCAAAGACCAACCTTGTTCATTTTAGTCACTCTGTCTGGACAATCATCTCTTATTTCGATAGGAACATACAGAGCTTGCAATGCACCCAATGCTGTCACTATCCTAGCTTGAGGATATGGTTCATTATTGGTAGTAACTACAACTAGAGATTTACAACCAGCCTTAATTGCTCTTTTGATCCCCTTTTCAGCAGCATCACTAAACCGTCTAACGTCATCATAATCACGATTCAGTGGACCAGTTGGGGCAAACACAACTCGTTTGATTTTTCCTGCCAATCCAGCAACGCAAACATCCTTTCCAACAGCGGCGTCCACCTGTTTTAAATCTTCAAGAGCTTTTCTCAGACCCACCAGTGGGCCATCTAGTTTAGCGAGACTGTCAGTCACCACCAAAATTCCATCCCAGTCCCCCTCGTCAAACGACGAACATCGTACAACTTCACAAGGGAGCTTCATTTTTGAATACTTGTAACTGATATGTCTGCTTACAAGAGTTCCAGAAAGTTTGAAGTGACGATCCTTCAGTGAATGATTAATCCACTTTCTGGTAGCAGGTAAAAAACAAATATGCCGCCGCGTCAGCAAAATATGCGCTGACAGCATCAGTTTTGCAAATCACATGACCACCAATCGATATATGATCAAACAAACAACTTTATAAATCAAACTTTTAACACACATCCCACACGAACAATAAAAATGTTCACATTCCAAATGGCGGTACATCCAGTAGTGGGATTCAGCCGGTTCCATAGAACCGTCTCACGGAATTTTATGAGATCAGCGAACCGGTTAGCATTACATGACTTTTTGTAACAGAACCGCCTGAAATATGACATTTGTATGATGGAACCGGCTGACAATAAATTTGAATCCCACCACTGGGTACATCTATGGAGTTTTCGTGGTGAATAATAAATAAATATATGGTTTTTAAATCAAATCTTTACTAATTTATTACTCAATAAATCTAAGAATTTATACTATCAATCGCTTCTTGCAGGTATGCCTTTTCAGACACAGTTCGAGTCAGGCAATCGAATTTTTAGGTGATACTGCCACCGCAATGCCAGCAAAATTCCAGCCAAATCTTGAAAAAGTTGTACCGAATGTCATATCGAAGTGTGGCCGTGATTTTATACGAAATATTTGACTATTTCGAATCTTTTCGGTCACAGGGGAAAAAATTCGAAAACACCACTGGATAGAAGACTACTTATAGAACTTATTCCAACGAAAAAATTGAAGTGACATCCCACGAGTTTTCGAACTTTTTGAGGTTCGAAAATGTTCAAATACACAAAAATTGAACTTTTTCAGGAAAAATCGAATTATTTCGAATCTTTCCGGTCTTGGGGGCAAAGATTTGAATATACCATTGGATAGAGGACTAACATAAAAATTTATTCCAACAAAAAAATTGTAGTGACATCCGAAGAGTTTTCGAACTTTTTGAGGTTCGAAAATGTTCAAATACACAAAAATTGAACTTTTTCATGAAAAATCGAATTATTCCGAATCTTTCCGGTCCTGGGGGCAAAGATTTGAATATACCATTGGATAGATGACTAATATAGGAACACATTCCAACAAAAAAACTGTGGTGACATCCGACGAGTTTTCGAACTTTTTGAGGTTCGAAAATGTTCAAGTATGTGAAAATTGAACTTTTCCACAAAAAATCGAATTATTTCGAATCTTTCCGGTTTTGGGGGCAAAGATTTGAATATACCATTGGATAGAAGACTAATATAGGAACATATTCCAACAAAAAAATTGTGGTGACATCCAACGAGTTTTCGAACTTTTTGAGGTTCGAAAATGTTCAATTACACAAAAATTGAACTTTTTCATAAAATATCGAATTATTTCGAATCTTTCCGGTCTCGGGGGCAAAGATTTGAATATACCATTGGATAGAGGACTAACATAGGAACACATTCCAACAAAAAAATTGTGGTAACATCCGAAGAGTTTCCGAACTTTTTGATGTTCGAAAATGTTCAAGTATGCAAAAATTGAACTTTTCCACAAAAAATCAAATTATTTCGAATCTTTCCGGTCTTGGGGGCAAAGATTTGAATATACCATTGGATAGAAGACTAATATAGGAACATATTCCAACAAAAAAATTGTAGTGACATCCAAAAAGTTTTCGAACTTTTTGAGGTTCGAAAATGTTCAAATACACAAAAATTAAACTTTTTCATAAAAAATCGAATTATTTCGAATCTTTCCGGTCTCGGGGGCAAAGATTTGAAAATACCATTGGATAGAAGACTAACATAGGAACATATTCCAACAAAAAAATTGTGGTGACATCTGACGAGTTTTCGAACTTTTTGATGTTCGAAAATGTTCAAGTATGCGAAAATTGAACTTTTCCACAAAAAATCGAATTATTTCGAATCTTTCCGGTCTTGGGGGCAAAGATTTGAATATACCATTGGATAGAAGACTAATATAGGAACATATTCCAACAAAAAAATTGTGGTGACATCTGACGAGTTTTCGAACTTTTTGAGGTTCGAAAATGTTCAATTACACAAAAATTGAATTTTTTCATAAAATATCGAATTATTTCGAATCTTTCCGGTCTTGGGGGCAAAGATTTGAATATACCATTGGATAGAGGACTAACATAGGAACACATTCCAACAAAAAAATTGTGGTAACATCCGAAGAGTTTCCGAACTTTTTGATGTTCGAAAATGTTCAAGTATGCGAAAATTGAACTTTCCCACAAAAAATCGAATTATTTCGAATCTTTCCGGTCTTGGGGTCAAAGATTTGAATATACCATTGGATAGAAGACTAATATAGGAACATATTCCAACAAAAAAATTGTAGTGACATCCCAAGAGTTTTCGAACTTTTTGAGGTTCGAAAATGTTCAAATACACAAAAATCAAACTTTTTCATGTAAAATCGAAATATTTCGAAACTTTCCGTTTTGGGGGGCAAAGATTTGAATATATCATTGGATAGAGGACTAACATAGGAACATATTCCAATAAAAAAATTGTTGTGACATCCGACGAGTTTCCGAACTTTTTGAGGTTCGAAAATGTTCAAGTATGCGAAAATTGAACTTTTCCACAAAAAATCGAATTATTTCGAATCTTTCCGGTCTTGGGGGCAAAGATTTGAATATACCATTGGATGGAAGACTCTATACAATGGTATATTCAAATCTTTGCCCCAGGACCGGAAAGATTCGGAATAATTCGATTTTCCATGAAAAAGTTCAATTTTTGTGTATTTGAACATTTTCGAACCTCAAAAAGTTCGAAAACTCTTGGGATGTCACTACAATTTTTTTGTTGGAATATGTTCCTATATTAGTCTTCTATTCAATGGTATATTCAAATCTTTGCCCCCAAGACCGGAAAGATTTGAAATAATTCGATTTTTTATGAAAAAGTTCAATTTTTGTGTATTTGAACAGTTTCGAACCTCAAAAAGTTCGAAAACTCGTCGGGTGTCACCACAATTTTTTTGTTGGAATATGTTCCTATGTTAGTCTTCTATCCAATGGTATATTCAAATCTTTGCCCCCGAGACCGGAAAGATTCGAAATAATTCGATTTTTTATGAAAAAGTTTAATTTTTGTGTATTTGAACAGTTTCGAACCTCAAAAAGTTCGAAAACTCGTTAGATGTCACGACAATTTTTTTGTTGGAATATGTTCCTATATTAGTCTTCTATCCAATGGTATATTCAAATCTTTGCCCCCGAGACCGGAAAGATTCGAAATATTTCGATTTTTTATGAAAAAGTTTAATTTTTGTGTATTTGAACAGTTTCGAACCTCAAAAAGTTCGAAAACTCGTCGGGTGTCACCACTATTTTTTTGTTGGAATATGTTCCTATGTTAGTCTCCTATCCAATGGTATATTCAAATCTTTGCCCCCAAGACCGGAAAGATTCGAAATAATTGGATATTTTGTGAAAAAGTTCAATTTTTGTGTATTTGAACAGTTTCGAACCTCAAAAAGTTCGGAAACTCGTCGGGTGTAACAACAATTTTTTTGTTGGAATATGTTCCTATGTTAGTCTTCTATCCAATGGTATATTCAAATCTTTGCCCCCAAGACCGGAAAGATTCGAAATAATTCGATATTTTGTGAAAAAGTTCAATTTTTTCATACTTGTACATTTTCGAACCTCAAAAAGTTCGAAAACTCGTCGGATGTCACCACAATTTTTTTGTTGGAATATGTTCCTATTTTAGTCTTTTATCCAATGGTATATTCAAATCTTTGCCCCCGAGACCGAAAAGATTCGAAATAATTCGATTTTTTATGAAAAAGTTCAATTTTTGTGTATTTGAACAGATTCGAACCTCAAAAAGTTCGAAAACTCGTCGGGTGTCACCACAATTTTTTTGTTGGAATATGTTCCAATGTTAGTCTTCTATCCAATGGTATATTCAAATCTTTGCCCCCGAGACCGGAAAGATTCGAAATAATTCGATATTTTGTGAAAAAGTTCAATTTTTTCATACTTGTACATTTTCGAACCTCGAAAAGTTCGAAAACTCGTCGGATGTCACCACAATTTTTTTGTTGGAATATGTTCCTATGTTAGTCTTTTATCCAATGGTATATTCAAATCTTTGCCCCCGAGACCGGAAAGATTCGAAATAATTCGATATTTTGTGAAAAAGTTCAATTTTTTTATACTTGAACATTTTCGAACCTCTAAAAGTTCGAAAACTCGTCGGATGTCACCACAATTTTTTTGTTGGAATATATTTTTATGTTTGTCCTCTATCCAATGGTAAATTCAAATCTTTGCCCCAAGACCGGAAAGATTCGAAATAATTCGATTTTTTATGATAAAGTTCAATTTTTGTGTATTTGAACAGTTTCGAACCTCAAAAAGTTCGAAAACTCGTCGGGTGTCACCACAATTTTTTTGTTGGAATATGTTCCTATATTAGCCTTCTATCCAATGGTATATTCAAATCTTTGCCCCCGAGACCGGAAAGATTCGAAATAATTGGATATTTTGTGAAAAAGTAAAATTTTTTCATACTTGAACATTTTCGAACCTCAAAAAGTTCGAAAACTCGTCGGATGTCACCACAATTTTTTTGTTGGAATATGTTCCTATGTTAGTCCCTTATCCAATGGTATATTCAAATCTTTGCCCTCGAGACCGGAAAGATTAAATATTGTAAGGGGTGCCGTGGGAAATTCTCCAAGTTGTGTGTCTATGCGGTGTGGCGCCCGGCAGAGTAATCATGTAGTAATGTTCTATATCAGATCGTGACAGCATTAGGTGGCGATTTTTTTTTGTCTTTGTTTTTATTTGATTACTATTCAGGATGTCCTATTCAACATCTTTCTGCAATTTTAAAAATCTTATATTAACAATAAAACACTTATATTGTGAATATTAGGTCTTTTCCCCATATTTTCAGCTGGTGGTGTGCCGCGGGATTTTCTCACTGAAAAAAGTGTGCCTCGGCTCGAAAAAGGTTGAAAAACACTGCTCTAGCCAATGGTGTATTCAAATCTTTTCCTCCGAAACCGGAAAGATTTGAAATAATTCTATTTTTAATGAAAAAATTCAATTTTCACATAATTGAACTTTTTTTTCAAATATTGAATATTTCCATATCATGTCATTATAATAAGTTGCAGTAATATTCCCAAATCAACATCTGAATATAAATC